ATTGTTTTTCCTCTAGTAGATTGGGTGGAACTTATCCGTGCAATAACTAGACATGTTCAATGTTATTGCACACTTTTCCTGGTTTACACTAGTTTTAGTAGAAATCATATAGAGAAGTGGGGTGGGTTTTCTGTGCAATAACGACAAGCATGTTGAGCAGGTGTCAATTAATGTTACAAGTCATTTATAGCACGCTTCATTCGTTAACAGGTTTTACACCTCGGCCTATAGCCTCTGGTTACTCATGTTAACTCATGAAAGCCGTGCTATAAATGACTTGTAACATTGACACCTGCTCAGCATGCTTGTTGTTATTGCATAAAATGTGCCAGTGACGGATTCTTAAATACACGTCTGAAATATCCACGCATTAATCTACTGGTATGAAACGTGTCAATTTGAGCTTTTGTCGGTTGAGGTGATGTAACTGATGAAACCTAATGATATATTCATATGGGCCGGTACAAGTCACTATTAAACCTAGCGTTACCATACCCACCCCCCTCCCCCCAAAAAGCCCACTTTCCAGAACCAAAAACCTAAAACAATAACCGGACACACAGAAAAAAAATCAAGATAAACAAAAGGTTATAGTAAAAATAATTTTCATGTAATGCAAGATTCTCTTCTTTCAAATGATGCAGGAAGCTGTCGAGTGTGTGATGAACCATTTTGTGAATTGGGTTTTGAGAATATTGCCAAATGCCACCCTGATACACCATACTGTATGAATACCATCGACATTGATAATGAAGGCAAAGTACAATTAAATAAGAAGTAAGGATATTATTGGATAAACTTTCGCGGTTTTAAATTATATTTCCTTATTCGCAAAACAGGCGTGGATTTGGTAAACTAGTATATAACTCACTATTTGGTAGACCTAAACAGATGTGGTACACTATAATAGAACTCACTATTTGATAGATCACATGTGGTAATCTATTATAGAACGCGGTTTCCTCTCACTGCTAAAGACCCCTACGCGCAAGGAAATCATTGAAATAAAATTGAACCATATGTTAGTCCCGAAATGACTAATGTGTCGAGTGGACGTTAAATCCCATTTCTCTCTCTACGCCTTGTGAGTGGCGCATTCATGGCGTGGCAAGGAAAAGTGTCGAGTCGTAAGGATTAGCGTGCATGTGAAAGGGCCATTGACAGTTGGAATTCGACGCAGAGTAGGCAATCTGATTAAAACACAAATCTTATTTCGCTTCGGGGGGGTTGGATGGCTGAATGGTTAGCGTGCGCGCGCTGTATCATAAAGTCTGTCATTGAGTCGACTGGCGTGGTTTCGAATCCCCGGTTGTCCCGAAATGACCTAGTTTGTGTCGAGTGGACGTTAAACCCCATTTCTCTCTCTCTCTCTATTTCGCTTCGATTTTTAATTCAATTTTACTACACTAGGATCTGGAAGAGTTGTTATATAATCCAGGTCCTGGTTAATGTGAGAGATTAACGTATGAAACGGTCTGTTACGGCGAGTTTTTGGCGTGAGGTGCACGGAACTGTGGGTAACCCACTAGAAACATTAACGCTGATTGGTTAATCAAATGTCTGACGTCATAGGGTTAAAAACCGCTCTTATGGCCCCTGACGCGATCTTCCATTACAACCGGTCAGATCTTCATGTAGTAGAGGCCATCGAGTGTACAAAACACGAAAGGAAATATGGATTTGTATTTTAAGCAGATTGGAGAGTGGGCGGTTGTGTGTTCGTCTTAATTAGTTCGATTGGTGGATAATCCCCGGTTGTACGTGACAAGGGGTAGGGTCGACTGTCCAACCTCGTGGGTTTTCTCCGGGTCCTCCGGTTTCCTCCCACTGCTAAAGACCCCTACGCGCAAACGAATTACTGAAATAAAATTGAACCACGTTTTAGTCCTGAAATGATCTAGTTTGTGTCGAGTGGACGTTGGACACCATTTCCCTCTCGCGATTGGTGGAAAGCAATTAGGACTATAAGCCTCGTTTCATTTTGTGTTTTTTTGATTAATTATGATGTAAGCGTTGTAATATTTCGTATTTCAGATGTGTTGGCGTAAATGATTGTGAGAAGAAATGGCTGCATGAAACCGCGAAACGCCAAGAATGTATTCATTTTGATAAGAATACGCTGTACAAAAATTTAACGTGTAATTATTGCTGCGTGACAGATGGGTGTAATATATATTCCATACCCGACGCCTCAACACGCTACAAAAACGTTTAACACTATAAGTTTTCATCTCTCACTCCCCCTCCCCCTTTTTTAAATTTCTACTTTTATATCTTGATGTACATACTTATTTAGATATTTGGACTGATAATAAAAATTTATTGTATGTTGGTATGTTAATTTGGTCGTATTTTTTTGTCGCCCTTGTTCGACTGTACAGAGTTAATTTCTTGTTCGATCGATTGTCATGAAGAACTAGCTATGATCACTATCGATTTCAGCATTATCGCAAAAGGAGGCAGACTATTTATAGCAATTCTCTCTCTCTCTCTTTTCTCCCCTTTTGCATGCCCATTTGTGTTGATTTTTTGGTCTAGAATGGACGAAGAGGGTTTGAATTAACATTTTCTGCCAGGTTTTGGTAAATATTCATGATTTTGAGGCGGAAGGATAAGAGGGTTATCAGGCTAGCTACGGCGATATGTACGGCAACTAGTTACATGTTTTTAGTATGCTTCTTCAAGTTTGTGTATCTCAAAATTTTGGTGGTCAACCTCATACAAATTTTAGTGCAAAGACATGACCATTTGTTCCTCTGTCTGTAGTGAAAAGCATTCAGCCCAACGAAATTTTGGGGAAAGGTTGGAGGTGGGCAAAGAGGCCAGAATTAACATTGAAGTCAATGGGGAAATTAATGGTGGTCTGCCTCCAAAAGCAGTGTAAGAGTTATTTCCCCTAACATTTATTGTTGATAATGTACATTGCCGTACTCGTATTATTATTATTATTGTTCGATTTATATAGCGCTTCATTACACGTGAAGTGTTTCTAAGCGCATATCACAAACATATACTTCAAACACACAGAAACAATCAAAATCAGGAGAACATAATTAAACACAGCTGCCTGTTAGGCGCTATTATTCAAAGGTTTATATCCAACAAATCAACCGGCTAATCTCTATATTGAACTCAGTCGAGGTATTACCTGATGAACACCTACACCAAGTAGAGTTCAAAAATAAAAAACGAAGTTTAAAAGAATCAGCTTCATTAACAAAAATTAAACAATCAAAAACTAAACAGATAAATCAAATTCAAACGAAACAAATAAAACAAAGAAAATGAAAAGAGCAGTTCATTACCATTCTACATAAACAAAATAAAGGAAAACAACTGTTACTTGTGAAATTTTTTCAAAAAATAAGAGCAACGTAACACTAATGTTAATACTTTTTAAACGAACATATCATAAATATAATTAATTTTACCTATAATATCTATTTCAGAAATCAGACTTTATTTTGCAAAAAAATTAATCCAAAGAGTTGTGTACGACCATTATCAATCACTTCATCAAAAAAAAATGGCAAATACCTTAGAAGAAGCACCCCAAAGACATGGTCAATCTTACCACCATTCTTATCCAAATTTTTTGATTTGCGGAAGGTGGGTACCAGTGCCATACAAAAGACCCTATTTCAAATTCCCGCGCTTTCAGATTCTTATCATATCCTTCTTTTTGACGTGAATGATATATACTTTAACTTTAATTTTCAACAATGAAACAAATATATTTACACTTTGACTTCCATGAAGTTTAAACCAATGGGCTAAAGCAGTCAAGATATGAGAGGTACGTGTGGATATAATAAAAGTTAATCCTTTTTGATTTTTCTACCTACCTTCTTTTTCTCTGGATCTGCTTTCATAAATAAAGCATTTATAAGTGCAAGTGCGCTTTTCTGAATATCCAAATCGTGTTTTTCTAATCCAATTCCAACTGCCACGGCATCTTTTACGTGCACGCCAATGTGAACATGTGACCTTGTTTTTTGTCCCATCCAAATGACTAGACAGCTGTCCTGGTCAGGCCCCCTGTCCTGCACCACTGACATGGGGTAACCACACCAGAGAATAATGAAACCGATATCTGACATGCAGTGTACTAGTACATGTATAAAGAAATTTTGGTTTGCCCGCCTACTCTTATTTCAATTTCAAACTGTAAAAGGTTCTCGTATCCACTCAAGGGAGATAAAGTTCGGATATGGTTACTAAAACTCCCGTCAGACCTGGGTGGCGTCCTTTCGGTGCTGCTACGGCGACGGAAAATGGCCTCAGAGCGCATCAAGATCGCCGTAAGCGTGGTGGAAACGCCAGATATCGTGCTGTAATCTCCATGGTCGCAAATGGTCGCCGAGTCACGGCGCTTGTTTTGGGCAATCAAGCTTGGAAAGCTGTGGTGAGAACGCGATTTTTTAAAAGTTTGTAATTATTTGGGACAATTTCTCGCATTGTGTTTACGTTTGCCGGCGACCGTGTGTTTTTTTTTCTGGTCGCAGTAGTTATGGTATTACTGCCCTTGAGATTCCGTCATTTTAAGCACCTTCAATCAACGCCGACAACACAAACTAGCTCATTTCGGGACTAACATATGGTTCAATTTTATTTCAATAATTCGCTTGCGCGTAGGGGTCTTTAACAGTGGGAGGAAACCGGAGGACCCGGATAAAACCCACGAGGTTGGACAGGCAACCCTACTCCTTGTCACGTACAACCAGGAATCGAAACCACACCAGTTGACCCAATGACAGACCTCACGATACAACGCACTCGCGCTACCCCCCCCCCCCCCCATTAAATAAAGGAATGTGTTCCCGGAAAAGTAAGCATACTCTATCTTGTGTACGTCACCGCCGTAACACTGTATCGTAATATTTCCTTTAACAGTTTGAGCTTAGTATAATTGAAATATTTTGTTCACGTCGCGGTCTACTGTGGAGGCTACACGGTCTATTGTTGCGGGTATAGAATGAAGAAACTAAAAATAATATGAAATACAATAGATGGCCATAAACTACAGATACACAGATAGCTCGCATTATTATTACAGAGTTTACTCGACTTAAACAGTTCTTTTATATAGAAATCGTATCAATATAATAAAAACTCAACTTGAATGAGTTATAGTATAACCTCTAAATGTCGCCTTTTATACGCCACTGAATATTACACGTTGTATACTGTGGCTTTTGCAATTTATCGGCTTGTCTTCGACTGTGGACATTTAAACCTTCGCACAAGGTAAGTTCGATTTCACCTTGGAGATGGATTCTAATAAAATAGCGTAACAAAAGTGTTCAACTGTGTACATTTAAACCTTCGCACAAGGTAAGTTTCATTTCACCTCGGTGGATGGATTCTAATAATATAGCGTAACAAATGTTTTCAACTGTGGACATTTAAACCTTCGCACAAGGCAAGTTTGTTTTCACCGTGGGGATAAATTCTAATAAAATAGCATAACAAATATTTTCAACTGTGGACATTTAAACCTTCGCACAAGGTAAGTTTGATTTCACCTTGATAAAATTTAATAAAATAGCATAACAAATATGATTGATTCAGAAACTATATGTAATAACAAACTCTTGTAGATCTTACATTAAAGTTATTTTGCAAAGCACGTCAATGTGTCGGATTTAGTGGAAATGGAAGTACGTGAAAAGGACAAATTTTTGGGCAGTATCATACAATAAATTTGCAAAAGTCAAATCCAATGAAGATGAAGTGATTTATTTAATTCCATATGTTTTACATTGACTAAGCCTGTTCTCAAATCACATTCAGATACCCTAAATTAGATAAAAAAAAAAAAAAACCCAAAAAACCTCACAATAAGAGATGACGCTATATAGTTCCACGTAAGCAAAGCCCAACGCAAATCACATCGGGCCTCAATAAGCAAAATTGACAATAGTTTTCATCAAAACAACGATTGATTATTGTTATTTATAATATACTATTCAAAAAAAGTAGGGGATATTTGATTTTTAAGTGTTATTAAAGTCACCTAATGAAACTGACGAAGAAACAAATGACAAAATGAAATGAAGTTCACATTCATCGATTTATTCCAAATGATCGTTAGACTAAGTAAGGCACAGACTGACCATTATAAGGGTAAAATGATACCCGGGGTCAAACAGCAAAGTTACCACAGCATCACAACCAAGTCAGTAACGGGTAAATCCTCCTCTGTTTGCCAAACAAGCATTGATCCGACGTGGCATACTCCTAATGAGACGTCTAAGGTCATTTTGGTCCAGATTGTCCCATTCCTGTTGCAACGCAGCAGCAAGTTCTTGGACATTGGCAGGACGTTGTTGACGTTGACGTAACCTCTGTCCAAGCATGTCCCAGACATGCTCGATGGGGGAGAGGTCGGGACTCAGTGCTGGCCAAGGTAATGTGGTGATGTTCTGTTGTTGGAGGTAACCTGTAACGATCCTGGCCCTGTGACATCTTGCGTTGTCATCCTGGAAGATGAAACGGCGGCCATGACGTCGTGCGAACGGCACAACATGGACTGCCAAGATGTTGTCCCGGTAGTACTGGCCTGTAACACGCCCTGCAACAACATGTAAAGCCGTTCTTCCAACAACAGTGATGCCTCCCCACACCATAACAGAACCACCCCCAAATCGATCATGTCTGATGACGTTAACGTCTTGGAAGCGCTCGTTTCGACGACGCCACACCCTCCTACGTCTGTCCAAAAAATCAACAGTGAACCTTGACTCATCTGAAAACATCACATTGCTCCAGCGTCGATTATCCCAGTGTTGACGATCCCTACACAAACGACGTCTTGCCTGAATGTGATGATCTATCAAACAAGGGATCACGCGAGGACGTCGGGCGCGAAGGTGACCCCTATGCAGTCGATTCCGAATCGTCTGGCCACTCATTCTCACACCAGTGTCTGTTTGAAGACGAGCGCTGATCTGATTTGCTGTGATGACACGATTTCTCAAGGCCAAGGTACGGATAAATCGATCCTGGGCTTGAGTTGTCGCCCTTGGTCGACCTGAGCGTGGTCTGTCCTGTACAGATTGTGTATCACGGTATCTGGACCATAGCCTGCTTATGACAGACTGAGAAACATTCATCGTCCGCGCCACAACCGCCTGTGTTGTGCCGATCTGTAGCATGCCAAGGGCACGTAACCTTTCATTTTGGGTAAGCCGACGCATATCAAAATTTGTTTTCTGGTCACTAAAACAATTAAACTGATGTTTCCACCCTGGAATTCAATGCCAACATGACTGTAACATTCAAAGTCAGAGTCGTGCAAATCTTGGGTTGGACCCCCATGATGATCCCAAGCATCACCTGCATTCCATGCGGTAGCTATTGGTGCGTTTGGGCGTCACATGTAACTGGAAATGTTTCTTCTGTTAGGTTCTATAGTGACTTTTTTCGTAGTCATTTGCATATTTTAGTATTATGCCCCCAAAATCAAATATCCCCTACTTTTTTTGAATAGTATATATGACGGTGTATGTCGGATAAAAACAACTCTTCATTAATTTAAACGCGAATATTTGGACTTAGGCGATAGTTGTGCCACTACATTGGTCTCTGTAAGATTAATTGGTCATAATTGTATAAAATTATCTTATTTTAAAGATGTAACATGCATTAATAAAGAAATTGAGTTTGCACTTGAAACTAAAGGCACCCAATCGTAGCTAAAAACAAGCACATTAGTATATCTCAACGTTTTCAGTTTCGTTCTCGTAGCTAACCCTGCATAAATATATTGTTTTTTTTGGGTTTTTTTAAAAATAAATAAATAAATAAATTCCACGCGTTGATTTATACTATTGAGTGAAATGCTTTTGGGTGTTTTATTTTTTCGAGGCCAAGAAACCATATATTTTGTGGTTTTAATGTTGTACACCTTTTGGATGTCGGATTTATGTTAAAATTGTCTGTAATGGTTAATCCAATCGTCACTTCCGGGAATTTTAATTTTTCTGTGATGTCTCACGTCTAAAGCACTATACAGTCCCGATAATCTGGGTAGCATCATAAAAAAAGACAAATGAAATGATACGCCATACAGTGTGCCGAGAGAAATTGTGCCCGGGTAACGGCAATATGGCCTACTCTTATATCGAATTCCAACTGCCAAGCGATCTTTTACGTACATGCCAATGTATACACGGGGCCTTCCGTCCTGTACCATTGACAAGGGGAAACCACGTCGGAAAATCCCGATGAACTTTCTCGGCCAATGCAGGGATCGGACACGCGTCCGTGGCCCCCCGGTATCATAAAGAAAGACAAAGGGGTCAACAAATCGGGGCAAACAAAACTGAGAAACACACGATATAAGGTTCCTTGGGAGATTTATTAAAGGGACAATAACACTCTTGCTGGCTTGACAGCTCCAGAAAATAAAAAAAATAGCCTTATTCTAAGTACTAGATGTGTTAGTGTCCTACCTGTTGTGTAAATTATCCATTACATCCTATTTTACTTGTCCAGGGGGTTCGAAAATATTTTTAAATCGAAGTTTCATTTGAAAAGGTTTACGTTAGACGTTTCAAACCATTATGTTGAATTTTTCAAAATTTTTAAATAAGGTGTATCATCAATTAATTGAAATAGTCTAAAATTGTACAATTTGTTGACCAGAATAAAGATTGGAACATATTATTCTGTTACAACAAGAGTGGTATTGAGCCTTTAAGATGAAATTTGTATCATCAATTAATTGGAATATTGTAAAATAGTACAATTTGTTGACCAGAATAAAGATTGGGACATATTATTCAGTTACAACAAGAGTGGTATTGAGCCTTTAATATGACGTATACATAATTAGTATACCCTGCTTTATTCAGTTTTTTTTTTCACGATTGTTTATACATAATTAGTATATCTTGCTTTATTCAGTTTTTTACACGGTTGTTTAACTGCTGATTATGAACTATGAAATTAGTAGAGTGTAACACGTAATGTGATTATGACAGTATATTTGGCGAGGTAATTCAATACGTTTATATCTTGATTATATATGACGTGTGTTAATATTACAGGGACGGTTTTTATTAAAGGATCAACATGTTATTGGGTGAACTTTTATTAGTTCTAATAATATATATTCTGCTGATCTACAACATTATAAACCTTATCATGACGAAGATAAAAGAAACAAAGGCACGGAAAGAACCACCATTACCTCACAAATTGCTCAAACATAAACATCCACAGTTTAATGTTCCGTAAGTATAGTTCGGGCTTGCAACTACGTACCACTACCTTATACCCCCGAAAGACCGGGGTGGCGTCCTTACTGCGCTGCTACGCCAACGGAAAATGGTCCCAGAGCGCGTCAAGATCGTCATTAGCGTGGTAAAAGTGTTATGGAAACACCAGATATCGTGCTGTGGTCTCCGTGGTCGCCAATGATCTCCGAGTCACGGCGTTCAAAACAAATGCCAAGTTTCTGCGATCTGACCTGGAAAGCTGTGAGGAGGCGACTTTTTCAAGTTTGTAATATTTTGGGACATTTTCTCGCGTTGTGTTCACGTTTGCCGGCGACCTTGTGCATTTTCTGGTCGCCGTAAGGTCGCAGCAGCGCAGTAAGGACGCTGCCCGGTCTGACGGGGGCTTTACCAACTCTTGGTAAGAATGGGGCTATGATGTTCTTATCTGGAAAGTATCCAAACTCGGTATATAATTAACTTAAACAAAACGGAGTACTTTACGATGTTTAGACGCGACAGCTATAGTCCCATCCTTACTAAGAGTTGTGGGCCGAAAGGAGGCCAAGTCCTACCTGATACCGCACTGCTGTTACAGAATGCAAAATGAAATGAAATGGGATTTAACGTCCTACTGTTTTGCTCCGAACTGGGCTAATGAAGACGGGCATACGCCATACAGTGTGCTATGAGGGAAATTTTGCCCGGACAGCGGCACTACGGCCTACTCTTATATCGAATTCCAACTGTCAAGGGATCTTTTACGTGCACGACAATATGTACACGGGACCTCGGTTTTTCGTCCCATCCGAACTTTCTCAGCCAATATGCAGGGATCGAACACCCGACCTCCAGGCTAGCGAGCCAGCGTCTTACCCACTTAGCTACCGTGACTTCCTCAGTACAAGGACATCGCGCATTCTTAAAATGTTCTTTATATGTATTAGTTCACTTAAATCTATTTAGGCTAAATATACATTTATGAATGAGATTTTTAAAATTGATATTAAGCAGAAGGTATGCGAGGAAGCCCATAGAAGATGAACTTGGCTCTTTTTTTAAATATAGGCCTGGTGTCCATAAAATAGGCCTTGTGTCCATAAAATAGGCCTTGTGTCCATAAAAGAATGACTTAGCTCCTTTTTTTATATAGTGTCTATTTTTACTAAAAATTTTATTTTATGAGGCAAATTATAAAATACAAACCTTTGTTTAAATATAAATAAAACCAATCAACATCTTGACAAAAATAAATTATTTCCAGGACCGTTTTCACCCCTCTGCGGAGAGGGCGAGGAGTCGATTATAGACCTTCCTACATTTACCTTCCAAAAGACACTATTAATTGTTACGGGGACCAATCTGCAGGTCGGCATATTATGCCTCGTTGCCTGGCATCCTTTGGTTTTTGTTCTTGGGATGTTAAATATTATCAGATTTATGCGCCATTGGTCTACCCTGTGTCCAATCCTGGATTGAACTTTATTATTTGTGAGAGAGAGAGAGAGAGAGAGAGAGAGAGAGAGAGAGAGATGGGGTTTAACGTCCATTCGACACAAACTAGGTCATTTCGGGACTAACATAGGGGTCTTTAGCAGTGGGAGGAAACCGGAGGACCCGGAGAAAGCCCACGAGGTTGGACAGGCGACCCCACTCCTTGTCTTTATTATTGGTATTTCAGGAATGGTTTACATGATACTCAAGATTTAGATGATGAGATTATCACCGAAAGACAGACAATGAATGACAATTTCACTCAAGCCGTGAAGACATACCAGCAAAACATGGCCGAGCGGAAATCAGCGCCTCATTCGCGAAAGATATCAGAGGATCAATGGGAAGCGAAAAGAGTTCGATCCAGAAAAATTAGCAGAATTTGTAAAGTGATTCCTACTGCTAGTCTTCTATTGTCAAAAGCAATACAGGATGAGACAGTGACAGCGCCAGCTTCCTGTCTGGAGGATCTGGAAGACGAAGCTATACAAGAAGAAGGGGCTGAGGATGTAGAAAATGACGATATAGAAAATGACGATATAGAAAACGATGGGGATTTAGAAAACGCTGAAAGTGTTTACACGGATTCTTTGGCAGAATGAATAACTATTTATTTCGATCGGGTTTTACAAGCAGAACCATCCCAGTAAGGTTTCTGTAACGGGAATAATACAAAAGCCACAGGTGTTTCAAAATGTTGACAAAGTTCTTATGACCAAATGGAAATCGGCTATTATGACTCGAAAGAAAATATCACAAATTCGCGCCAGTAGATCGTTTAAAAGGAAAAGGTTTCGCTGACAGGATTAATAGATCCGCACAAAATCAAAAGTTGATGAAATGAAAATGAAATGAAATGAGGTTTAACGTCTTACTGTTCTGCTCCTAAACTGGGCTAATGAAGACGGGCATACTCCATACAGTGTGCTATGCGGGAAATTTTGCCCTGACAGCGGCACTACGGCCTACTCTTATATCGAATTCCAACTGCCAACGGATGTTTTACCTGCACGCCAATGTGTACACGGGACCTCGGTTTTTCGTCTTATCCGAATGACTAGACAGCTGTCCTTGTCAGCCCCCCCCCCGTCCTGCATCAATGACAAGGGGGAACCGAACAACACACACATTAAATGTGGGCGTATAAATATCGCCAAAACCATTCCAGCAAGTTTGGTCATTGCAGAAACATTAGTTAAATTTGGTGCTAAGAAGTGTAAAATAATTGATACAAATTTCTTTATATTTTTGTTTGCATTTATTTTTTTTATTTAATAATCTTAATATTTTAGAAAATAATTTTGTGTTTTTTTATTAGGAAATTAATATTTTCTTGCAATATTAGACCTGCAAATATCCCTTGATCATCTTATTGCGAATTGGTGGCGAATTGCATTCGTAAGTCCATTTGTACGAAAGCCCAGAAGGCTCATTCCAAATTCCAAATTCCAAATGCGAAATTCCAAATCTGATCCGACCAATCGGATCAGGTTTTGCTTTTGACTAATCAGATAAGTATAATAACAATATTCCAGTTCCGGTTTGCTTTGGCAGATGTGAACAGTTTGGTGATTGGTTCCATATCAGTAGTAGTACTTGATCACTTACTCAGTTCCTTCAGTGTAAAAGTTCCACGGGTATTGAATGTATAGGTCAAATCTGCCGCATCGGCGACACTTATCTTCTCTGCAGCAGCCATGGTGATTGTAATGTCACGTGATTATGTCGAATTTGGAATTTCGCATTTGGAATTTCGAATCTAGTAATTTGGAACGGGTGTTTATCCGGCCCAGGCATCGGATCGGTAAACTAGCACTAATGAGTTGTGTAAAATTACAATTTATTTAAATTCTAATTTGTTTAATTGATGGGGGGGGGGGGCAATTTGCTATTTTATTGGTGAGACATGACTTTGGATATTGGTACATTTGCCATTGTGCTGTGTCAGAGCAGCATAAGTGACAGAGCAAAGAGAGAGAGAGAGAGAGAGAGAGAGAGATGTGTCTTTAGCAGTGGGAGAAAACCGGAGGACCCGGAGAAAACCCACGAGGTTGGAGAGGCAACCCTACTTCTTGTCACGTACAACCGGGAAATCGAAACCACGCCAGTTGACTCAATGACAGACCTTATGATACAACGCGCTCGCGCTAACTATTCGCCCCCTCCCCCAACCCACAAAGCAAAAGCACTGTGTAGTGAGAGTAGCTTAAGATGAAAGTTTCAAGGGGAGACGAAACCACGTCGGAAATGGTGCAGGACGGAGGGCCTGACAAGGACAGCTGTCTAGTCGTTCGGATGGGACGAAAAACCGAGGTCCCATGTATACATAGCTATGCACGTAAAAGATCCACTGGCAGTTGGAATTCGATATAAGAGTAGGCGGTAGTGCCGCTGCTCGGACAAAATGTCCCGCATAGCACACTGTATGGCGTATGCCCGTCTTCATTAGCCCAGTTCGCAGCAGAACAGTAGGACGTTAAACCCCATTTCATTCCATTACATTTATAATCCTGTCTAATATTAATTGACCCTTTTCAGAAAAAAAAGGGGCTAGCAAACGCAGTGTTGTCTATTTTCAGGCCGACTGGGAAGATCGGGTCGGAAAGGAAATGAAATAAAATGAAATGTGGTTTAACGTCATAATGTTCTGCTCCATACAGTGTGCTATGAGGGAAATTTTACCTGGGAAGCGACACTATGGACTACTCTTATATCGAATTCCAAATGCCAAGGGATCTTTTACGTGCACGCCAATATGTACACGGAACCTCGGTTTTCGTCCCATCCGAAAGACTAGACAGCTATGTTTGTCAGGCCCCCCATCCAGTACCACTGACAAAAGGAAACCACAAGGGGAGCAGAACAACTGGACTTTAAACCCCATTTCATTTCTTGATCCCAAAATGACCTAGTTTGTGTCGAATGGACGTTAAACCCCATGAGGATTTTCCAGCGAGCTTCTCTAGTTGCAGACGGATTAACCGGTCGTCTGCATGAAGCGAATGAGCGGAGCTTACCGTTGAGCCCCCCCACCACACCCCGCCTCCCATCCTTCAACCAAAGAGAATTTAGAAAATTTGACAGCCGCAAACGCATTTTCCTCGCGCGAATCGTTGATAGTGGGAACCTAGCATTAAGGCGGTTGTATTAACATCTTCTATTTCTATAGTAACACCTCACTGGTTTCAGTGGTTGGCACGAGTAAAATGAATAGTCAGACATTTTATTCTCTTTAAAGGGACAATAACACTCTTGCTGGGTTGACAGCTCCAGAAAATAAAAAATAGCCTTATTCTAAGTACTAGATGTGTTAGTGTCCTACCTGTTGTGTAAATTATCCATTAAATCCTATTTTACTTGTCCAGGGGGTTCAAAAATATTATATTTTTAAATCCATGTAACATTTGAAAAGCTTTACGTCAGGCTTTTCAAATCATTGAGTTGAATTTTTTCAATTTTTTTAAATTAGGTGTGTTGAGATGAAATTTGTATCATCAATTAATTGGAATATTGTAAAATTGTACAATTTGTTGACCAGAATAAAGATTGTGACATATTATTCAGTTACAACAAGAGTGGTATTGAGCCTTTAACGCCATCACATGTGTAAATATAAAATAGATATTTGAGTAACTTCCTTTTTAAATAAGTATGCCAATAATAATATACTAAGCAGCAAAAGAAACGTCAGGTTGGTATGTTCCTCTAAATAGACGCATTGCATAAAACTTGCCAAATGTTTTTATTGTATATTTGTGACCACATCTCCAACTTTACCTCAGCAATAAGGCTCCTTCCCAAACACAAAATTGAACCCAGGAAATGTTCTCAAAAATGCAATCTGACTTCTGAGATGGTAATGTGTTCTCCATGACTTTTATGTAACTCATGCTGCACGTGCTGTTCACCGGGACCAGCCCTATAAAATGCACCCCCATACCTGGTTGAATCATTCACACTACAACGTCAGTAGTATGCCACGACTCATGACAGCTCAGAGGAACCAGGCGCTTGGAAGACTCGATGCTGGCCACACTGCCCAAGCCGTTACCAATCACTTCCAGGTCAATGTGCGGACCATCTACAGGCTTCCGCAACGCTTTCGGGCCACCAACACCACGAATGATCGCCCCCGATCTGGTAGACCAAGGGTTACCACAAGGCGACAAGACCGCCATGTTGTGCGACAGCACGTGCAGAATCCCTTCACACAGGCATCTGAGACAGCACGTCAGACAGTGGGAACACACGGAAGACCCATCAGTACCAGAGAGGGCATCCATTGCCGTAGACCTTACCGTGGACCGATCCTCACCCCTCGCCATCGACGTGAACGTCTACAGTTTGCCCAACAACACTAGAACTAGCGACACTTGCAATGGAGAACAGTTCAACTGCAGATGGCAGGACCAGAATATGGCGTTGACGTGGCCAGCGTTATTCTGACCAATGTGCCATGGAAAGAGACTCATGGGGAGGTCCAAGCATAATGGTTTGGGGTGGAATCGCCCTGAACCAGAGAGTTGATCCTGTGGTGTTCAAAAATCTTGGTCCAGGGAGAGGAGGCGGCATCACAGCAGAGTTACTCGGGACTTTCTACAGCAGAACGGTGTCAACGTTATGCACTGGCTAGTCCTTAGTCCGGACTTAAACCCGATTGAATATCTTTGGGAATGAAATTCAGAGGAGACTTAATACCGTCGTACTGAGACGAAACACAGCCACTGGATTGCGCCAGAATTTTCTGAGAGTGTGGTTCCAGGTGCCAATGGCGTTCATCCTGGTCCACTCCATGTACAGACGCTGCGCTGCTGTTAATGAAACTCGCAGTGGACACAGCAGATACTGAATTACTGATGTATAGACGGTGTACAGACTCTAAACTTTCTCGTAGTCTTGGAATTGTGATGAATTAATTTGATCCATTTAGTAAGTCGTTTTCTAGAATGATTTGATTAAAGTGCCTCTCTGATTTTGAAATCGTACTGACGTTTTTTTTTTGCTGTTTAGTATATATACTATAAAGAAGACGGTAAGTGAAAATGTATACGTATGTATAACATCATTGATAAATATATGATTGGTGTAATTCATTACGTATACATTTGGGACTTTTAATTTTTTTTTCTAGAGATACCAGATGAATTTATACATAAAATGGTCTAGTGATGCATAAGGGTACGGTCTCGATGAATGTTAAAGGGGGGTCGGGGGTCAGCACCTGAAATGCCGTTCGGGTTACAGACGGTGGTGCCGGTTCTGTGAGAGGCGAAGGGGTGGGGGCGTACAGTGTATACAGAGTAGAACACCTCCCACCCCGCCAAAGAAAATCTGGAAAATATGACGGCCGTAAACGCGTTTTCCTGCTATTCCAGACCGTGAGTACAACAACCTCAGTGTGGTCTAATATAGCCAAATTAAGGTGCCTGATTCGAATTCCAATCAACCAATTAAATATCAATCGTTTACAGTCCACGGAGATGGAACCGTCCGGAGAAAATTTTGAAAATTTAACTGCCGCAAACGCGTTTTCCTGCTATTCCAGCTCTTGAATACGGCAAGTTCAATGTGGTCCAATATAGCCTACCTTAGGTGACTTACCGGAACCCAAATCCCGAACAACCAATCAATCTTTGTGGGGTATGGGGGCTTCGCGCTCCCCGGGAATTAAGCAACTTCAGAGTTTCCAATCGCTTTGCATCCGAAATCCTAGATAACAAATCTTACATCAGTATATCTCAACGTTTTTAGCTACGTTCTCGTAGCTACCGGAATTCCACTCTATGGCGACCTGAATTCCAACTATCCAATCTGACTGTTGCAGCTGCATTCACAAAATTAACAATAATCGATGCCCTAAAAATTGTCGTACACAGTAGAGTATCTGCAATTTTTAGCCGTGATTATTCTTTTCTACGGCTGCAATTGATACACTATTCGACTCTTTACGCAAGTAAAATTAGGATCAGTTGCAAACTTTTCAACACATATCATCACAGTTTGCATGGAAATAGGCCTAAGTTATTATGTTACAAATAGTGGAACACTGAAATCTTAATCTTATCTTACCAAAAAGTTTTTCCGTGATTCTGGTTCGGCGGCCATTTTAAACTGAAGAGAAATTTTGCATAGCAGTTGGGTTTAATCAAATCATATAATTATACGGTAAGGTTTCACCCTTATGTCAATGGGAATCGGTTTATTATATATGTTAAGCTATGTACAGTACACTTTGGGGTCAGTGTTATTGGAAATTAAGGGAGTTAGAGGATAGTAACGTTTTTTTAGTCAGTCGAAAACAAACCTTGCTCAAAGTCAAAGGAAGGCTGGAGCAAGACGGAAGACATGGAACCATTTCTAAAAGTAGAGTGTCCCCAGACCAAATGTTTTAATTCACAGTCAATTCAATACAAATTCGTGGTATTCAATTAAAAGAAAAGTAAAATTAGTGATTTATTAGATTCCAGGCACTTTATTTTGCCAACTGGATGAAACAATAATTTTTGTTTTCGCTTTACCCGTCTAAACTAGTACTGCTAGCCTTAGCCTATCCATTTTAAAATTTGATAAATGAGGTAAAAACTAAATAGCAAAGTACAAATATATGGTTTTAGATAGCCTAGTAATTGAATTGGATCAAAATAAAAGTGTGAAAAGATGCATATCTATTAATTACAAAGTTGGGGTATAAAGTGTTATTTCTATAAAACAGAGAAGATACAAAAAATTCAACCGGTCTTGACAGCGGTCTTCTGCTAACTTACGCGTGGGCTGTTTAGGTGATTTAGTTTAGGTAATCGGGACTACAAGGCAAGCGCCGAAATAAAAGAGTAACCCCCCTTTGACCAGTCATCTATACAATTATGACGTTTAATGTAAAATAGAGACAAATAGTCAGTATAAAAAGTAAATAAATCCACCCAAAATGGGAATTGGCAGCTGTCGACACGATTAGCTTATAAGTCACAACTACTGTCTATTTCTATTTGATTCAAGCCACGGTAAGTTGTACAAGATGACGGGCTTCAGACACAGGTGATGGGCTATGGAAAGTTGCTTTCTCATTGAAACTTCAATGACAGGGTGAAACTTTTTTTATAACGGATAGTATAGTAGTTGATCTAGAAGATTTTAATGAAATGAATGTGTATATAAAGTGATTTAAATTCATTTTTTTTTTTTTTTTTTTTAAAAATACCGTTTTTTTCTAATCAATTATATATTTTCGGTGAAAGTCAGTTGTCCATTCTACACTTATTTTTTTATTATGTGATAATATCACTTTCACAATCACAGGGATGTGATAAATATACTGTTTGAATGGCATTTAGTAATTGAACACATTAAAATAAACGCAACAGTTCTATGGATAACAATTACTGTATTTCTATTAAAGCTACGTTTAAACAATGATTCTCTTGTCGTTAAGCACAATGACAAGAGAATCATTGTAATTCTTGAAACGTAGCTTTAAATATTAATAGAAATACAGTAATTGTTATCCATAGAACTGTTGCGTTTATTTTAATGTGATAAATAAATAGTCATTTGAGTCCTGACAATAATTTTTTGTTTAAAATTTTGAAACTTGAAGTACCATACTTTTTGTTATTAAATTATTTTATTCCCCCCCCCCCCCCCCATGAAATAAAATGCAAAATTTTAATAGTTGTTCTGAAACTGAAGAATAAAAAGTTCAAATTCGTGTGGCCTTTATATTGAACAAGTACTGAAGTAGTATATTAGTAGTAATAGTGATTCATGTTACTGTTAGCTAATGCCAGCTAGAACTACATACGGTATATGCAATATTATCACTGTCGTGTCTGGTTATTCATTATCAATTCTGTTGCAAACCTTTGTTATGAACATTTTAGTTCTTATAATTCACAGGGGTGTTGGATGGCCGAATGGTTAGCGTATTGTATCATAAGGTCTGTCCTTGAGTCAACAGGCATGGTTTTGATTCCCCGGTTGTACATGACAAAGAGTGGGCGTCGCCTGTCAAACCTTGTGGGTGTACTCCGGGTCCTCCCACTGCTAAAGACCCCTACATGCAAACGAATTATTGAAATAAAATTGAACCATTTGTTAGTCCCGAGTGGATGTTTGTGTCAAGTGGATGTTAATTCCCATTCCTCCTCTCTCTCTCTCTCTCTCTCTCTCTCTCATTAGAGGCTTAACTATTCTTATTTTCTTATATGATGCTGTCATAATTACGTTGACAGTCAGTCAAATGCCTCGTTTTTGCACCAGCTTGTTGACTATTTAGTCTTTTGTACATTTTCAATTTAAATTCTTCATTTATTTGTCTGAATTCCGTTTTCATTAGCCCAGTCGGAGCAGAACTAGGACGTTAAACCCAATTTCATTTCATTTTATGAGTCTAATTTAAAGAAACCACAAAAAATGGTGCTCTCCTTTGAAGCCAATTGATTTTATCTCACATAATTATTTTCAATATTATGAGGTTAGGTTAGAAATTATATTAGTGTTTATTTTTAATGAAGAATTTTGTTCTTATTCCTGTGCTGAATTATATCTTATTTAATCATACGGATGCAACATGTTCAAAATCAGTCACCAATCAGTGACCCTATTCATGTTGCTATTTGGTTAAAGTATTTGTATTAAAGTAACGATTTCCCATTTGCATTTTTCGCTAAAATATCAAATTTTTTACGGCGTAATCCATGCTGATATGTACTCAAATTATTTAAGAAAACAAAATCAAAATACTAACACTAGATAATGTCCCGGCTTGGATTCAGTCAGATTTAAAAAAGTCCTACCTACAAATTTTCGCAGACAACAAAATGGCTGCAGGCTTATTACATGTACATAGCGAAGCAGCATACATGTACATGTAGATCAATGAATTTAAATTCCACATATCTTTGTAAGTATTGAATAAAATTTAACCATGTTCGAACCGATATTCCTATTAGAGATTCATCTTTCACAATATTGTAGTTTATAAAACACAAATTTATATGGAAAACAATCACTGGGTTTATTTCACACTACATTTCAACAAGTTCCTCTTGTCGTTCTCAAGTAAGTAATGACAGTATAATAGCAAGAAATCAAATTATATACAACTAGTTAACAAAAACAATAACTCATATGAAACCATCAAAGGGCTAATATTGTAGTTTGCAATGAAATGAAAATATTTTCAAAGACATGTTTAATTGGCAAATACTGTGAAAACTAGTGATAGTAACCTACCTTATTTATTATAATCTTGTTAAACATTTTTGAAAGACTTCTATTTAATATTTTTCTTGTCTTTATTAGAAATAGAAGAAAGATATTTGCAATAACTAATATAAATTATAATTTGTTGATTTAGAATAAGATAAATATCAATTCAATACACCTCTAGCTATCTAGTATACATGTCTTTAAACATATATTCTGTAAGATAAAGAGCTGACTATTCTTGCTATAATATCTCAAAAATAGATAATGTAAAATGAAAATATTGAAAATTTCATTCAGATTACTTCATTCTGAGCCAAGTTATCACTGTAAGTAGTTTTGATATAATGTGTGCATTGTGGTAACCAGTACGGTGATTGAAATTATTGCACACGTCTGTCAAACCTTCAAAGGCTAATATCTTCGCTTGCAATAGAGTAATTTGAATGAAATTTTCAAATTATCCATTTCTTTATCTAAATCTTACATAATGTATCTTTAACATGCACGATGATACTCTTGTCTTTATCAAGCAAATCATCGTCGTGGAAACGTTGCATGTTAATAAACTAGTAATCATTATACAATAATTTCGGGCGTGATTCCCCCTTGTCAGTGATGAAGGTCGGAGGGCGTGACAAGGACAGCTGTCTAGTCGTTCGGTGTGACGAAAAACCGAGGTCCCGTGTACACATTGGCGTGCACGTAAAAGATCCCTTGGCAGTTGGAATTCGATATAAGAGTAGGCCGTAGCGCCGCTGCCCGGGCAAAATTTCCCTCATAGCACACTGTATGGCGTATGCCCGTCTTCATTAACCCAGTTGGGAGCAGAACAGTAGGACGTTAAACCCCATTCAATTTTATTTCATTTCGTTATTCCATAAAAAGTGTTAGTGTATATTAAATAGATGAATCTAATACACCTACAGCTATCCAGTATACAGTTATCAGAGATATAATCTAGTAAATGTTGGCTTACTTTTCTGATAAGGTATATTCTGAATGAATAATCTTGATAGTAATTTTACAGGAAGAGTAGTGCCTTGTCTAATCTACTATATAACCTATTTCTATATTTAACAATACTGTATAGATAGACAGGGGTGGGGTGGTGGATGGCCAAATGGTTAGTACGTATCATAAAGTCTGTCATAGAATCAACTGGCATGGTTTCAATTCCCCGGTTGTACATGACAAGGAGTAGGGTTGCCTGTCAAACCTCGTGGGTTTTCTCAGGTTCCTCTGGTTTCCTCCCACTGCTAAAGACCTCTACGTTCAAGCGAATTATTTAAATAAAATTGAACCATATGTTAGTCCCAAAATGACCTAGTTTGTGTCAGGTGGACCTTAATCCCCATCTCTCTCTCACTCTCTCTCTCTCTCTCTCTGTTGATAGACAATGACAGCTACAATAATTATTGCATGAATACCTTGATTAAGATTTAAAATGAGATTTTTTGCTGAGGTTAATTATAAATTAAATGCAGAGTGATGAGTAATTGATTGTTCGATACTTTAAAAAAAAAAGACATATGTGCACATAATAAATCAACCTAATTAAAATACCGATCTATATTTCGTTTCATTTTTTATACTTTCGATGGCCTACACTACATGAAGATCTGACAAGTTATAGTGGGAGTTCACGTCAGGGGTCAAACGAGCGGCTTTTGACCCTATGACGTCAGATATTGATTAATCAATCAACATTGACGTTTCTAGTGGTTTACCCACAGTTCTGTGCATTGAATGCCAAGAACTCGCCGAACAGACCGTTCCATTGGCTAATCCCTCACACAACCAGAACGCCGGTAATGTAACAACACTTCCAGATCCTAGTGTAGTAGGAGTAAAAGTAAAACAAAATTTTGACCTATAAAAACAAAATGAAATAGGATCTGTGTTTTAATCAGATTACTATTAAAGGAGTGTAATCTGTCTATTTTTGGATTTAGACAGGGGACATCAGCGTCATTGTTGGGAAGGAAGTAGACTACCATCAAATGCATATTCTAAACCGAACCAGAGTGATCTTTTTAATTTGAAATAAAACCAAGTTGCTTTCTATTATAATTATTTGAACAATGATATCTTAATTTTAAAGAAGCATTATGTAAAAATTAGATAAAGAGATGGCCAATCTTGCTATAACAGTTCAGTCAAATTGCTTCATTCTGAGTTGGGGGGTGGGGGGGGGTCACAGTGGCTAAGTGGGTAAGACGCTGGCTCACTATCCTGGAGGTCAGGTGTTTGATCCCTGCATTGGCCGAGAAAGTTCATCCAGATTTTCCGGCGTGGTCCCCCCTTGTCAGTGATGCAGGACGGAGGGCCTGACAAGGACAGCTGTCTAGTCATTCGGATGATACGGAAAACCGAGGTCCTGTGTACACATTGACGTGCACGTAAAAGATCCCTTGACAGTTGGAATTCGATATAAGAGTAGGTCGTAGTGCCGCTGTCTGGGCAAAATTTCCCTCATAGCACACTGTATAGCGTATGCCCGTCTTCATTAGCCCAGTATAGGAGCAGAACAGTAGGACGTTAAACCCCATTTCATTTCATTCTGAGCGTAGTTATAACCGTGTGAAGAACAGTGTAGCCTCGATTGTCTAATTAAATTACTTCATTCTGAATATTGTAGACTTGATTGTCATTGCTGCCGTTTTTACGATAATAAACGATATTAAAGATACATTATGGGAGATTTTTATAAGGAGTTAGCCATTCTTGCTATAACAGTTCAAAAATAGATGATGAAAGAAGAATATATTGAAAATTTCAGTCAAATTACTTTATTCTGAACATAGTTATCACCAGTGTAATTTTTGACTAGAAATTGGATTGAATTCCATCTTCACCGATTCTTAGTAATATGGCTGATCGTTTGATTGACAGGCGTTAACTCCACCTACATAATCTCTGCTGTCTTTTGTCTGCTGTCATCATTTTGTGCTTGTTGTGTAAATAAAGATCTAATTTATAATTTCTATGACATTTGAAGCGTAAAGAAAGACCTGCAATAGACAGATTTAGCTCTTGCATAATGTATGTTTAACTGGCAGTTGTGTTTAGGTCCGTTGAAAATCAAAACCATCTGATGATCTAGGGGGGTGATTATGGTGTTGGCATGTAAATTGTTGTGTTCTGAGCAAAGTTATGAATGTTTGAAGTTTTGACAGGATGTGGCGTAGAGTCTTGATTGTCAAGTCATCTGGGCTTGGCATGTGAATAAATGTCCAATAAATGATTTATGGGCTTGGCATGTGAATAAATGTCCAATAAATGATTGATGGGCTTGGCATGTGAATAAATATCTAATAAATGATTTATGAGCTTGGCATGTGAATAAATGTCCAATAAATGATTTATGGGCATGGCATGTGAATAAATGTCTAATAAATGATTTATATAACATTTGAGCTTGAGGCAGATTTATGTTTTACATAATGCATCTTTAATCTCAACATTGAAATATTATTTGGTAAGAATATAGGGAGGTTGGCGTTACGTCAACTGGTGTGGTTTTGATTCCCCGGTTGTATGTGACAAGGAGTAGGGTCGCCTGTCCGACCTTGTGGGTTTTCTCAGGGTCCTTCGGTTTCCTCCCACTGCTAAAGACCCCTACGCGCAAGTGAATTGTTGAATAAAATTGAACCATGTGTTAGTCCCAAAATGACCTAGTTTGTGTCGGGTAGACAGTAAACCCCATATCTCTCTCTCTCTCTCTGGTAAGAATACAACAATAGATTAAATCAAATTTGATATTTATGAGATAATATATTCGTTACATCAGATTTCATTCAGCTGTGACAATAGTCGTATCTTATATCGATTTTATAGTCATTCAACCAATAACAACTTAACACATTATTTTACATGTTGTTTCACATCAAGATATATAAGATTGGTTAATTTGTAGACACGACAGTAGGAGATAAACAGACAGAATGCTAGTGTTATTAGTATTTTGTGTTGGTCTAGGGTATGTTCATGGTGAATTGAAGGCGGATCCAAATGGGTATATTGTGTACTGTCCGTGTATGGGTGAGTAAATATTTAAATAGATTAACCAGTCCTACAAATTTAACAACATTTGTTTAATTATAGACGATAAAAAGGTAAGTGTACAATGTCCTGTACATGTATGTCAAAGCTTGTTATTATAGTACAGACATCCCACATAATAGGACTTCTACATATATTTATTGTTGAAGGTTATTTCTACAATTCTAGCCTTGAAAATAAATATTTTATTTAGTTAAACTGCTTGAAAATAAATGTTTTATTTAGTTAAACTGATGTTTTTTAAGAGTTATTTTCTAAAATTTGCAACTTACTAAAATGCAACAAATTAAGTTGACAAGGTAAATACACCTGTTGTAGTAATAGAAAAGAAAGTTTGATGAGATTTTAGAACATGTTAAAATTAAACATACATTATGCAAAATTAAACATACATTATGCAAGAGCTACGTCTACCTATTGCAGGTCTTTCTTTAGGTCTGATATGTTATCTAAATTATTAATTAGACATTAATTAACTTATCCAGGCCACAATCACCTCTCGATGGCATCGGTTTTCTCTGATATTAAATTGATTAGAACAGTTCAGCTATATTTTGATTTAAGCTAAAAATGGAGGAGCGAGACTTAGCTTCGACCAGTATGGTGGTTGAAATTATTGCACACGTCTTGTCAAACCTTCAAAAACTAATATCTTCGCTCGCAATAGAGGAATTTGAATGAAATTGTCAAATTATTCATTTTACATTATCTATTTTTGAACTTTTATAGCAAGAATGGCTAGCTCTTTATCTAAATCTTACATAATGTATCTTTAATTCATAATCCTTTCTTACATGCACTTAGTCTTAAACATGCGCCGTCATAAAACACTCTTTTATTGAGACAATCTATTTCTGTGGTATATTATTTATGAATCAGGATTAAGGTTTTTTTTCATTTAGAAAAGTTTTCTGAACCATACACTGGATAAAATTCTATGGAATATTATTAATTTTTACCACTGATAGACAGATTTAAAAAAAAGACTAGCTAGTCAAAACACCTCCCTATATGGATAGTAATTATATTCCATGGAATGGACCTTGGTTGTGGGGGGTGGATGGCCGCATGGTTGGCGCATGCGCATGGTATCATAAGTTCTGTCATTAAGTCAACTGGTGTGGTTACGATTCCCTGGTTGTACGTGACAAGGAGTAGGGTCGACTGTCTAACCTTGTGGGTTTTCTCCCGGGATCTCCGGTTTCCTCCCACTGCTAAACACCCCCTAGTACTTGCAAGCAAATTTTTGAAATAAAATTGAACCATACGTTAGTCATGAAGTGACCTAGTTTGTGTCAAGTGTATGGTGGCCCATGGTCGCAATAGCGTTTTTTGGGTTATTTTTGGTATTTCATTTAAAATAATAAAAATATTAGTACAAAAAAAAAAAAAGAAACATTTTTTTTTTCACAAAATAAAAAAAAATAATCTTTTAAAATTTAAAAAAAAAAAAATCTTTTTAAAAAATTTAAAAAAAAAAAAATCTTTTTAAAAAATTAAAAAAAAAAATCTTTTTAAAATTTAAAAAAAAAAAATCTTTTTAAAATGAAAAAAAAAAAATCTATATATATATAAAAAAAAAATAATAAAATATATTTTAAAAAAAATAAAAAAGAAATAATATTAAAAAAAAAAATTAAATGAAAAAAAAAAAAATTGAAAAAGAAAAGGTAAAAAATAATTCGCAATAGTGTCTTGAGTATCCAGACCCAGTATACAGCTATCATTAGACTAGAGCGACCAGAAACATTTTGTGGCCCATTGTTGTAGTAGTATCTCAATTATTATGTGTGGGGTCTATGAAGAACGTATAAACTCGAACGACAAGAAACGAGTCTGTAGTTATCTCACGACAACATAATTGTAGATACTTCAATTTTGATTAGCTAAGCACTAAAATAAATCTAATATTATCTATTATCCAATCAAATACTAAAATTTGAATTTTATCTTAGTAAAACAGGCCCCAGACGAAGTCCACGTAGGCTATCATGCTCTATTATGTCTTTTAAATTGATGTTGTCCGCCATCGCACTTTCGCACCTCTTACCCGTTCCTGTGGTCGTAGCGGGGGACTAGCGATGACCTCAGGGAGAGCAGGGGTTTCACAAAAACTGAAGCTAAAATCACTAACATAGATTTTAAAATCAAAGTGAAATTTTAAATTTATGCGTTTCATGAAGATCGATTGTAACTTAAAATTTAATTTTAATAGATTTTAGTTAAAATTACTTGTGCCTTGATGTGAGGTAACTATAGACTGGTTTCTTGTCGCTCGAGTCTATACCATACGTTCTTCATAGATCCCACACAGGATAATCTGAACGACAGACCCACGATGTTTGACAGGTCACCCTACTCCTTGTCACGTACAACCGGGGATTCGAAATCACGCCAGTTGACTCAATGACGGGCTTTATGATATGACAGGCTTTATGATACAGCGCGCACGTGCTTACCATTGGCGCCCCCCCCCCGGCTACTTAGTGGTAGTAGGCCTATACTTCGAGGATTAGTTTCAAAGTTGTTAACTACTTTTGAAATTCGACCTCAGGGAGACCAAGTGTTTTAAAAACATTACATAAGCCTTTTGAGGGGAGAATAGGCCTTGCGCACTAGTAGGCCGAATGGTGTCATTAAAGTCAATGACTTCAAACGTCATTATGTATGTAGGCCTAGTTCTAGTTAGACTGGATAAACTAGTCTAAATGACGCTAGGCTTCTATAGTCTATTAATTATACATTTCTATTGATATGCATATGTATAAATACATATATCCAAGTCCATAGACGTCATGGGTGGAAAAATTGTGTTTCACGTGTTGATGTCTGTTTACCTTTTTCCTTTCGGAAGGGGAGATAACTACAAACTCGTTTCTTGTCGCTCGAGTTATGCCACATAGGATAATCGAGACACTATAGCAATGGGCCACGAGGTATTTCTGGTTACTCGAGTCGAATGATAGCTGTCGTAGGCTGATTTTATACTGAGTCTGGATAATCAAGACACTATTACGACGATGGGCCACGTGCAGAATTCTTTTTTTGATTTTTTCTATTTCACTTATTTTTTTTTTTTAATTAAAATGTTATTTTTTTTATAGATTTTTTTAATCTTAAATATTTTATTAATTTTTTTTATATAGATTTTTTTTTATTTTAAAAAGATTTTTTTTTCTTAAATTTTAAAAAGATTTTTTTTTTATTTTGTAAAACAAAACAAAAAAAAATGGAGTTTTTTTTTTATTTTTATTTTTTATGATTTTAAATGAAATACAAAAAATAACCCCAAAAACGCTATTGCGACCATGGGCCACCATACAAGTGGATGTTAAGCCCCATTTCTTTCTCTGTTATTGTCCTTGATGACCTTCGACGCTCTGGAGACAAAAGTTATCATCCAATTGACCTTACATTTATACACAGAGTTTAAGGTCATGAGAAGCAGTATCCTATGGATTGTCAAGGATTTCCTATCATTACAATCAGAGCTATAGCCCTTGATTACTTTGAAAAATCTTGTGTATGCTCTAGAGACACAAGCTCTCATCCTATTTAAGAACACGAGACGAAAAAACTTATTGAGTGTCAGTATTTCTGATAATTACTGCCAGAGTTATGGCCCTTGATCACTTGTGGACGCTCTAAGAGACCAAAGTGTTAGCATGGGGCAGAACTAGATGTCAAACAGATCCTAATAATAATTACTTAATGGGTTGTTTTTCTAATTCAGGGTCCTGTTTCTTGAAATCTTAACTAAAGATAAAATCCAAATTTTGGCTAAGCGCTAAAATCAATCTAATATTATCCAATCAAATTACTAAAATTTGGATTTTATCTTAGTTGAAATTTTGTGAAACAGGCCCCAGTTTTAGTGTCTTGTATTATGCTTTTATTACCGACAAAAGAACCCTTGTGGACTGCTCTGATGTTTGCATAGCAACCTGTATTTCACTGAGTTTACAGATTTTGAATTTCAAAATTATAGGTCGATTTGGTAATCAAGCTGATCAGTTTCTTGGTTCGTTAGCTTTCGCTAAATCGTTAAACAGAACATTAGTTTTACCACCATGGATTGAATATATAAATCATCCTTCAGTAAGTACCAGTAGATAAATACACATTTTAATTTATGTAAACATATATATTACAAGAAAATTTAATATTTAAAGTTTTGAAATTTTAATTAAACGAAAAAAAATTTCACGGGACTTGTGTGGATATTACATGATCAAGTCTCTACGACAGTGGTTCTCAACTTTTTTTTGCCAATGGCACACCTTGAAACACAAGAAAACATAGCGGCACACCTGGCTAAATACATATGAAAAATATCTGAATTTCGCAAAATAAAAACATGGCAAGTCAGACGGCATACAACCGCGAGACAGAGACTAGTCATAGACACATAGACTGACTCGAACTAAATAAAGAGAAACACAGCTATGAACTAATCAGTAGACACCAGCGAATACTCAGTTGGGATCATGTGGTTTTTCGCATTTTCTTAGTGTGCCGTTCAAAATTATGTGGCACACTTAGGAAGATCTTGCGGCACACCTGTGTGCCATACACACCTGTGTGCCTCTGCACACTGGTTGAGAACCACTGCTCTACGAAGAACTATAAATTAATCTTTTGAGATATTAATTATATGTCTAAGCTTATTGTTCCAATTTATTACATGGTTTCCCCTTGTCAGTGGTGCAGGATGGAGGGCCTGACAAGGACAGTTGTCTAGTTGTTCGGATAGAACAAAAAACCAAGGTCCCGTATATACATTGGTATGCACGTAAAAGATCCTTGGCAGTTGGAATTCTATATAAGAGTAGGCCGTAGTGCCGCTGCCCTGCCAAAATTTCCCTCATAGCACACTTTTTGGCATATGCTTGTCTTATTAGCCCAGTCAGAGTTTACATTTCCAATTTTTTACTATTTCCATTGCATAAAATATCTAATTCCCTTTAATAACTTATATATTTAGTCACGGGTTCCATTCAATACGTATTTTAAAGTGGCGCCATTAAGAAAGTATCATCGTGTTATATTGATGGAAACATTCATGAAAAAATTAGCACCAATTATCTGGCCTAAAGGTGATCGAACAGGTAGGACTTGTCTTAATCTTTTAATAAATAATAATAATAATAATAATAATAATGTATACTCATGGCACAATTGTCAGCTATTCACTCAATCTGATTAAAATACAAATCTGTTTTTTGTTTCGTTTTTTTTATACTTTGGATAGCCTACATGAAGATCTGACCAGTTGTAGTGGAACAATCTAATTAAAATCAAAGCTATATTTCGTTTCGTTTTTTTATACTTTCGATGGCCTACACTACATGAAGATCTGACAAGTTGTAGTGGAAGGTGCCAGATACGAGCAAAATAACACCTTTAAATTCAAATCAAGGGTTGTCTTTTCTTTGTTTATGTTATATAGCCATAGAATACGACACAGGATGACGTGATGTGATGGGATTGTTTGTTCAACTGGAAAGAAGAATTCTTACCGAAATTCATTATTGTGTTTCAGCATTTTGTTACAGTGCTCGTCATGGAAGTTCAGACAAAGATTCCTGTAATGCCAAAGATGGAAATCCATTTGGTCCATTCTGGGATCATTTTGGAGTTGATTTTGATAAATCGGAATTGTTTGCTCCCCTTTATTACGATACTGAAAGTGCTCATGAAATCCAGCGTTGGAGAGACAAGTACGTATTGTTCATTCATGTACAGTAGAATCTGTACAAGCAGCCACTCAATGTTCACACACTCCTTAAAACTCCTTGAAAATCCTGGAAAAATGAAAATGTGATTTCCAGTACTGGAAAATCCTGGAAAAACAAGATTACTACTTGAAACTCCTGGAAAATTAACATTTGTGGTTTTGCTATGTATTTTAAGATATAAAACTGAATGTAGTTATCGAATGTTCACGAGTTTGTCGCCTTCAATGTTCTTTAAGCGTAAAAAAATACATTATGGTGTAGAATTGTATACAGTGACTCCTGGAATCCGGTAAATAACTCCTGGAAAACTCCTGGAATTTTATGTGTTTTGAGTTGTGCACACCGTGCCACTCCTATTCAGCGACATCCCCTTTTAAGCGGTCACGAGAAATTCCCTCCGTAGAAATTATATTCTTTCATATTGTTAATCAACGGTCACTCCTCTAATAAATTTAACAAAACATCGCCAATTCAGCGGCCATTGTTGAATAATACCACTTGTCGTATTTCTTAGCACCCCCCGCTAATCCCATGATTAATAGATAATTATCTACCCCCCCCCACCGATCAGGTAAACAGAACTGTGAAAATAAACCCGGGATTATCTGTTAATTAATCTTTTGTTTTATTAAATGACAAACCCTGATCATCGTTTTCCCACGTAACGAAACAAATTCCCTTGAGTGGCTGGTTAATACAGATTCTAGTGTAGTAAATAATTACTGAATTTGAAGAGGGATAAATGGAATGCTGATGTCTAGGCAAAATTTCCCTCACAGAATTGGGCATGGCATATGCGATCTTCCTTAGCCCGTTTGGTGCAGAAATATTAAACCCCATTTCATTTCAGTTTCCTGTGAGGGGGATTGGATGGCCGAATGGTTAGCGCGTGCACGTTTTATCATAAGGTCTGTCATTGAGTCAACTGGTGTGGTTTCGAATCCCTGTTGTATGTGAAAAGGAGTAGGGTCGCCTGTCCAACCCCGTGGGTTTTCTCCAGGTCCTCCGGTTTCCTCCCACTGCTAAAGACCCCTATGCGCAAGAGAATTATTGAAATAAAATTGACCTAGTTTGTGTCCGAGGAGGTTAAACTCTCTCTCTCTCTCTTCAGTGTGAGGAAATACAGAGAAAGTGACAATGTGCTCAGTTCCATGTCCAAGATAGACCGTGGATCCAAAGCACAATTCTATATACCTGTAGTACATGTAGGTAGTTTGACGATAGACTGTAAAACAAAAATCTTGGGCTATATTTTTGCAGGCATTCATGTAAATTGGTCTAATATAATTCAATATGTTTCAGGTATACACCAGATAAATATTTAGTTCTAGCCTTTGTGGGGCCACCTGCTTCCTTTCCTGTCAAAAAACATCATTTATATATACAGAAATACCTAGAATGGTCAGATAACATTAATCAAAAAGCGGAAAAATTTATAGAGAAAAATATAGAACATCCATTTGTAGGAATTCATCTTAGAACGGGAATGGATTTTGTAAGTATATATTATTGAAATATTTTTATGCTTTAACTCTGATTGTTTTAACATACATTATGCTATGTTACATACATTAACTTGTCTAGACCATAATCAACTCTCGATGACATTGCTAGTTTGCGATATTTAGCGGATTGGAATACATTTTGTGAAGGATGAATAATCTTAAAAATGGATAATCAAGACTTTGTTTTTTATCGTACCGAATTTAGTAATGATGATCAAGGCTAGCCTAAAATTCAAAAGCTAATACCTTGGTTCAGAGTGGAGCAATTTGACTGAATTTTTCAGCATATTCCATTTACGTTATCTATTTTTTAACTATTATAACGAGAACTGTCCATAATGCCCCTTTGATGACCCATCTTTCAGAAACGTGCATGTGAACATATAGACCAAACACCAACCATGTTTGCTGCTGCTCAATGTATAGGTTATCGACAAGAATTTGGTAAAACTACAGAAGAGATGTGTTACCCTTCACCACAGACAGTTACAAAAGATGTGAAAGAATGGGTGAAAAAGATAAAAGCTAAAACCGTGTTTATAGCCACTGATAACAACGACTTTATAGATACCATGTCTAAAACAATAAAAAAAGTAAGTTCTTTTAGGTACCCCAGAAGATCTAAATGAAAGATGCAGTTAAGAACGTTTTTGGTGGCTTGAGTAAGTGATAGATGTAGCATATCATTTTTAGAAGCCCAGAAGAAACAGGCACCCAACCAAACCAATTGAAATTTGGACGTATGTTGGTGTTACCTGGGGGATTGGATGGCTGATTGGTTAGCATGTGTGCGCGCTGTATCATAATGTCTGTCATTGAGTCAACTGGCATGGTTTCGATTCCCCGGTTGTACATAACAAGGAGTGGGGTTGCCTGTCCAACCTCATGGGTTTTCTCTGGGTCCTCCGGTTTCCTCCCACTGCTAAAGACCCCTACGCACCGTACGTAACTAACGTACGAAAATTAAATGGTAGCTGGCTTTTTTTTCGCACGTATACAGTGAATGGCCATTTTGCTCAGTAATCCCAGCCAAAATTTGGCTATTTTTTTAAAATTGCGTTAAAGTTTTAAATTTTTGTTTAGAACTGAAATAAATTAACTTTTAGTCAATCCCCACGCTAAAAACATTAACAGAATTGATTGTGTATATCTGAAATAGACACGACCGAAGCACAAAATAGTGCCAATATGCCGACGTCAAATCTAGAGTTGTAGATGTTATTTTTGTGAAAAATCATTGGAAGAAGCGATAAGACGTTCTGTACGGATTATACAGTCCTAAAGGCTGCAAGAAGGCTATTGTTTACAATGTAACATTATGTCTTGTAATGTTGATAATGATCATAATGATGGTGTTTACAATTGTTTGTTGATGTGACCTCATGACCTGTGACGTTTAGATAACGTCATATGGATATCATGGCTATTCACTGTGTCAGAGTCACTTCTCTGCAGGTAGGGTGAGTCTGTCGTTCAGATTGCCCTACGCACAAGCGAATTATTAAAATAAAATTGAACATTCTGTTAGTCCCGAAATGACCTGGTTTGTGTTGAGTGGACGTTAAACCCCTTTCCTCTCTCTCTCTCTGTTGTTGCCTCGTACTTGCTTTGTCCACAATTGTTTTGGGCTACTGTAAAGGCCAAAGTAATCATTTGATTGACTTCTAAAATATGTTTTGTTTATTTTAGTGCCGTCTTGCAAGAAGTCAATCAAATTTTATTTATTTCCGAAAATTACTTATTCATTGGTTGTTGCCCTTGTGTTTAAGAAAAATTGTTAACATATTTTTTAAGAAAAGTTTGTTATATCATGTTTTGTTTTTGTAGGTGAAGTTTATCCGTCAACCGTCACCATCAAGTCCACATGTAGATTTAGCAATTTTACAGAAATCAGATCATTTTATAGGGAATTGTATATCTACTTTCACAGCTATCGTTAAACGATTCCGTGATATTGAGAAAAAAAACTCATCATTTTGGGCTTTTAAAAGTAAAGAGTCGAAACAAAAAGATGAACTCTAATATATATGCAATAATTAATTTTGTTTTGTTGGTTTTATTTTTCATTACATTTGTTTTCTTTATATTTTTTAAAACCCATTTTAATTTAATCATATTCTATGCTCAAGAATTCTATCCTCGATTGCCAAGACATTTCTTATTCTTAAAATAGTTTGAAGTACCACACCCTTGTTGGAAACTTATATAATATCATAGCAGTTTGATATAATCTTTGAATTGCATTTAGCGATTAACATAATATAAAACAACACAGTTATATGGATAACAATCACTATATTTAATACACACAGAATTTCGACAAGAATTCACTGGTCGTTATTTTTGTATGCTTGATAACGACCAGTGAAATCTTGTTGAAACGCTGTGTGTATTTAATTAGTGATTGTTATCCATAGAACTGTGTTGTGTTATATCATAGCAGTTCTTCCATTTATATAGCACAATATTTTAAACTGCCCTTCGAATTTGTAATACTCAAGGCATGATTGAATATGTATATTGAAAGGCTATGTTTATAATCAGCATTATTACAAACTAAACCTATGCAGATTGAATATGTGCATCATTCATAATACAAATATTTAGAGCGATTAAACATACATTATGCAAGCGCTAAATCTGCCTATTGCAGGTCTTTCTTTAGGCCAGAAATGTTATCTAAATTATTAATTAGACATCAATTAACTTATCCAGGCCATAATCAACTCAAATGCCATTTAAAAATTTAAATAGTCTCGAATATACCAGTGCCCTTTTTTAAATAAAAAAGATAATAAGCTGAAGTAAGTGTATGTGGATTGGCCATAATAACAGTATATTAGAAATTTGAACTCTAAAGTTTAAACACTCTTAGATGCTGGTACTAATAGATATATAGGTATATTATAACATTATGTAATTGAACTAGAATATACAGGTCACAGTTCTATGGAATACAATAACTGCTTATTACTGAGCGACGTTTCGACTAGGCTTCTCTAGTCATTATCGAGTAATGATTAAATATGAAAATAAAACAAGACAATATATACATGTAAACAAAAATACGATATTGTCTTGTTATATTTTCCTGCTCTAGTCATTATCAAACAATGATGAAATACGACAATATAACAAGGCAATATATAAATGTACACAACAATACTTAGTTAATGCTGAATAAACAGAATTGTGACACCAGTTCAATTACTAAATGCCATTGAAATAAGATGAATAGGTAATATATTAGTGTTAAATGTCTTTGTTCCATGTGGTGATGAAATCATTCCAGGTGCTAATTATAATATAGTTTACTTGTATATCGTTTTCATCCTCATCAGTAATCAACATTTATATTTATATTCTACAAGTGTTAATCTTTTAATTGATAAATATTAATAAAATTCTTAGATAGATAGATTTTATTACATAAAAGATCCTTTTCGGGCAGCATGTAAATTATACATTACGGTATGCATGATACATACATGAAGAAAAATAGATGAAAAATACATTATAAAGTGGATGAAAAATACATAAAAATGTTTATTGAAAAATATATACAAAGTGGATGAAAGTTACATAAAAGTGGATGAAATGTACATTTATATACATTGAGGGAGTATGTACAAAATATAAACCAAAGTTAAAATAAGGCTAACAACTTTGATTAAATTTTTAACTTGAGTCTGAGAATGCTTTGTGATCTCAGGGCCTGAATAACAGATGAACCTTGAGGTGTAGAATAACAGCTGAATGATTGAAAATGATCCTTGACAGCTAGAATAAATGATCCTCGATGTGTGTTGGTTTTAAGAGTTTGTTTTAATAAATTGAGGAAAAAAATGTCAATCTGTCTCTTTTCATTTTATGTGTGACAGTAAGACTTTATAATGTATTACTAGAATGATATTTAAAATGGATTTGATATATTGATTTTTGAAAATTACCAGGTATTTATTGTCCTATTTATTCCATATGTTACATACTATTATATCTATATACAATGTTTTATAATAGATTAATTTGAACATATTATAATGTCAACCTGATGGTGTAATCAAAATCAATAAATTTTAACAATTTACACTTGCGAGAGATAAAAATGGGGGTTTAACGTCCACTTAACATAAACTAGACAAGGACAGCTGTCTAGTCCTTCGAATGAGACAAAAAACCGAGGTCCCATGTATATATTGGAATGCACGTAAAAGATCCCCTGGCAGTTGGAATTCGATATAATAAGAGTAGGCTATAGTGCCACTGCCCGGGCAAAATTTCCCTCATAGTACACTGTATGGCGTATGCCCGTCTTTATTAGCCCAGTATAGGAGCAGAACAGTAGGACGTTAAACCCCATTTCATTTCATTTCATTTTGGGACTAACATATTGTTCAATTTATTTCATTAATTTGCTTGGCGTAGGGGTCATGAGAGGAAACCGGAAAACCTGACGAAAAGCCACAAGGTTGGACAGACAACCCTACTCCTTGTCACGTACAAGCAGAGAATCGAAACCACACCAGTTGACTCAATGACAGGCCTTATAATGTAATGCGCACGTGTTAACCATCCGGCCACCAAACCCCCGTAATAAAACCCTTAAGATATTAATATTGCTATTGCTAAAAATTAAAAAAAATCATGAGCTATTGTCTATTTTTTGGGGGATAGACAAGGAGTAGGGGCACCTGTCCAACCTCGTGTATTTTCTCTGGGTCTCCAGTTTCCTCCCATGCTATAGACCCCTACGCGCAAGCAAATTATTGAAATTAAACTGAACCATATGGTAGTTCCAAAACAACCTAGTTTGTGTCAGTGGAGTTAGAACCCCATCTCTCTCTCTCTCTCACTCTTTCTCTGTCTATTGTCTATTTTATTTATTTTGACTATATGTGAGAATCTCGTGACTAGAGAAATTCCTAAATGTAACGGAATTCATTTAAAAACACTGGTCGTTGAAAGTTGAATTTCTAGGAATATTTGTCTAAATATGGTTCAATGCCATTCAGTATTCATAAAGATCTCATGAATTGAAAATTTGTCAACAATTGGCATCCTTAGCAGCGGAAATATCGTCTAAATAGACATAAAATAAATTGGTCAAAATGGCCTCAAATTTGGTTGAAATTATGTAAATATAAATAACTGGATCTGTATTAAATAACATATATTTAAATGGTTATTTTGCTTTTATATGGATGTTACAACCCATTTATGCCGGTTTTGACTAACAGTGATTGTTGCTTTGATCACATTTTTGGGCCATTTTGGTTTACGGCAGTTTCATCGATTAGCAATATTTCGATCCCTGCTTTGGCAGAGAAATTTCATCTGGATTTTCCGAGGTGGTTTCCCCCTTGTCAGTGGTGCAGGACGAAGGGTCTGACGAGAACAGCTGTCTAGTCGTTCGGATGGCACGAAAAACCGAGGTCCCGTGTACACATTGGCATGTAAAAAATCCCCTGGCAGTTGGAATTCGATATAAGAGTAGGCTGTGGCGCCGCTGTCCAGGCAAAATTCCCTCATAGCACACTGTATGGCGTATGCCCGTCTTCATTTACATATAACCATGTATCATATTAATTTTAGTTTTACCAGGAGGGTTTAATGTTGGTTAGATGATGTTAAGTTTCATAGTATTCATACCACTTTAAATTCTCATTTTATACTATGTATTAACAACGCTCATGTGTGGGGTGATCATTTGTAGAAAAATATTTTCATTAAAATAAAGTATTTTTTTAAACTGATTATTGTACTTCATTAAAAATCTACTTGTTCTATGGCAGTGTTGGAGTATATTGTCAGCACCATCATGCATCGATTTTACACCAAGTCAAGGGGAAACCACGTCGGAAAATCCCGATGAACTTTCTCGGCCAATGCAGGGATTGAACATGTGTCCTCCAGACTAACGAGCCAGCACCTTACGCACTTAGCCACCATGGCTCCCGGTCTGCCCATGCACAGTTGGATGAAGAGTACTAGTGGAAAGGAAGTTGTCCAGACAAAACGTCCCTTCATAGAACACTTCATGGCATTAGCACGGTCGGTTCGTCTGGGATATCACCCCTCGGTAAACCTCCCACGAACGAATCTGGTCCTGTAGAAGGAGAAAGAGAGAAATGGGGTTTTACGTCCACACAACACAAACTAGGTCATTTCGGGACTAACATTTGGTTCAGTTTTATTTCAATAATTCGCTTGCACGTAGGGGTCTTTAGCAGTGAGAGGAAACCTGAGGAACCAGAGAAAACCCACTAGGTTGGACAAGTGACCCTACTCCCTGTCACGTACAACTGGGGAATCGAAACCACACCAGTTGACTCAATGACAGACCTTATGATACAACGAGCACACACCAACCACCCCCCCCCCCCCCCCCGGTTAGTGTAGAAAAGTAGGACGTTAAAACCCATTAATCATGATACATATATAAACCAGGATTATACATGTTTTTCTAAAAATTTTATTGAACATAAATAGAACAGTAATTTATACACATGATAGAAGGATTTATGTGATACAAGAAAATGATTGATATTCATACAAAATAACCCTAGAAACTGTGATATATAGAGAATCTCCTACCAGTCTTTTTTGATATCAAAAAATATCAACACAAGTTGATAAAGTAACAAAAAACGAGGCTCTGCCGAGTTTTTTTTTTACTTTATCAACGAGTGTTGATATTTTTTGATATCAAAAAAGACGAGTAGGAGATTTTATTTATCACCCAATTTCTTCTTACATGCACAAATAGATAAATATAATTCTTTGCTGTAGATTTCACTTTTACTGAACATTATGGCGTAGTGATACATCATTTTTTGACAGAATTCAACCATTGCAAAGTCCTTTATATTGACCCAGTTTTTCCATCAAGGTCAATTGAATAACAATAGTTCATTTTTAATAAAAAAAAAAAAGTTGCTTTTAATAAGAAATTAACTGTTCTTTGAAAATAAAAAAAAAGTAGTTCCTTTTCAACTGACCAATCAAATTCATGTAAAGCGATATCGCAGTACATTATGAAATTTATCACACAAGCGATATCTACTGTAGAATGTATTATTGGGTGATAAATGATGTTCATACAACATAACCCTAAAAATTGTGAATTTTAAATGAATGAACACCTTAGCAGTCTTAATGATGCATTACGTAAGAGCTAAATCTGTATATTTTAGTGGGTTTTTTTCTGGCTTTAAATATTAAATTTGTGTATTTTAGGTCTTTTTTTTCTGGCTTCAAATGTTATATTCCAGGTAAAATATTATTTAGACATTTATTCAAATGACAAGCCCAAAATAATCTCTATAGATTTCTAATTTTACATCGGATGGCCAAGATAGTAAATGGACTATGTACACTGGCACCATTTAATAATTTATATACTTTAGGTCCTTTTTTCTGAATTCAAATGTTATATATTCCAGGTAAAATATTATTTAGACATTTATTCAAATGACAAGCCCATAATAATCTCTATAGGTCATTGGATGGCCAACATATTAAATGGATTATAACACCTGTGCCATCATCAGATGGTTTTGATTTTCAACGGACCTAAAAACACTTGCCAGTTAATATCGTTTATTATCGTAAAAACGGCAGCAATGACAATCAAGACAACAGCTGTTCTTCAAACGAACATAACTTTGCTCAGAACACAATAATTTGACTGAAGTTTTTAATTTATTAATTTGTCATTCTCTATTTTTGAACTATTATACAAGAATGACCAGTTCATTATCAAAATCTTACATAACACATCTTTAACTAGGAATTTCTTATATAAGAGTTGACTAAAAAATTGAGTCCATTTAAGCTTTAAAAATAATTTGTCAACAGGCTATCTAGTTGTTAAGTAAACATGCATCCATGCAATGTATGTACATAGTTTTAAACGGCTGTAACCGAACTCCCAGCTGCTTGTAAAATACCAGACTTACGGGAGAACAAGATAACACAAGTACATGTGATGTATCTACACCAGACGTGATAAACCACAAAATGTTTTAATTGGTGTACACCTACAGCTAGTACAAACATGACATTTAATCCAAGAGAAATTTCAAATATGAGTCTTAATTACCATCAAACTTGCAACATACTGTGTCATTTACAGAGTTTAACTGTTGTGGTGTTACACTGTATACTGAGTATCATTTAATCTTGTGTATTTAACCTTAATTTGTTTAATATTAAATCTTTGTTTCAAAATTCGTAAAAAACGTTTAAAATACCCCAATTCATCTAATTTGTTGCTGTGTCCAGTTTAAAGCTGACCATTCAATTTTGATAATGAGTGTCCCAATTTTACAAGTGTTCAATTTCTAAATCACTGTTAAAAATAAATAACCCAATTGATTAATGATTAATTTTTAAACAGTGGTCAGGAAATTAAATACTTGTTAATTGGACACTCATTATCAAAATTAATCAGTCAACTTTAAACTGGACACAAGTATAAATTAGATGATCTGGGGTGATTTTAAAGGATTTTTACGAATCCTTAAACAAGGATTAGATATTAAATGAATGTGAAAGAAATAAGTGCTAGATACACAAGATTAAATGATACCCGGGTTACAGTGCTATAGAAAAAGTTGAACCAGTTTAATAAATTGTTAATTACGTAAACCAACATTAAAAGCAAGAAAAAAACAGATAACAATAATTTTTCTCTTTTAATAGTTAATTGCATGGATATAAACATTTAGTAATTGGATAGAGCAATAAATTATAACACATACTTGGGCGACGTTTTGCTTGAAATGTCAGCCAAATAAAATAGTAATTGTTTGTCCATATGTTATAGTTATATTTATGGATATAATTACTGATTGCATCTGAGCAAAACAAGCCAACAGTGAGGCTGATGTCCCCCGCCGAAATAGGAAAATAATTAGAGGACACATATAAATTTATCACAAATTATCTTTTACAAAGTATTGAACAATCAAACAGTATATCTTTACTTATAGTCTAACAATCAAAGTAGGAGAGTTATTGTTTTCCAAAGTCTCGACCAATCAAATTGCGTGTCGCTCTGCTTACCCTGAGCAGAAAATGCTCATTATCAAACTTAGTCAAGGTATTACTGTAATGAAACTATACACCAAGTTTCATCAATCTCACTTAATTAGAACTAAAGTTATCGTGTCCCAAAGCATCAACCAATCAAATTGCTTATCTCTGCTTACCCTAAGCGGAAAATGCTCATCTTCGAACTCCACCAAGGCATTGACCTAATCAACACATACACCAAGTTTGAACATTCTAGCTCAATTAGGAAGAGAGTTATCGTGCCCCAAAGTATCAACCAATCAAATTGCTTATCTCTGCTTACCCTAAGCGGAAAATGCTCATCTTCGAACTCCATCAAGGCATTGACCTAATAAACACATACACCAAGTTTGAACATTCTAGCTCAATTAAAAGTTATCGTGTCCCAAAGTATCAACCAATCAAATTGCTTATCTCTGCTTACCCTAAGCGGAAAATGCTCATCTTCGAACTCCATCAAGGCATTGACCTAATCAACACCTACACCAAGTTTGATCATTCTAGCCCAATTAGGAAGAGAGTTATCGTGTCCCAAAGCATCAACCAATCAAATTGCTTATCTCTGCTTACCCTAAGCGGAAAATGCTCAGCTTCGAACTCCATCAAGGCATTGACCTAATAAACACATACACCAAGTTTGAACATTCTAGCTCAATTAGGAAGAGAGTTATTGTGTCCCAAAAAGTGTGACGGACGGACGGACGGACGGACAGACAGACAGACAGACCCATTTTAATAGTCCCCTGCTTTCTTCGAAAGGCGGGGGACAAATATGCTAAATACATGATATACTTAATAGCAGCAATATGTACTTCATTTTGAACATTTGTATGATAATTTAAAATGCTGTTCAGTTCACTAAAGGGAGATAATATTAAGTTAAATGTTCTACATAGGTAAGGGACCATTTCAAAATAACCTGCAGAACTAAATAAGTGTGTGGGTGTGTGTGTGTGTGGGGGAGGGGGGGGGGTTGTAACAAAACCACAGATATATAATGATAAATTATATTTAGTTAAATGTTCTACATAGGTAAGGGACCATTTCAAAATAACCTGCGGAACTAAATAAGTGGGGGGGAGGGTAACAAAACCACAGATAGAAATGATTAATTAAATTTCTTCTTCTCAAGGTTTTACGTCCACTTCCACCAAGGGTGATATCGTAGACAAGTTTTTCCTAACAAACTTACTAGAGGAAGCCACAAAATAGGCTTGATCCAGTTTATTTGGATAAGACATGGTGTCTTTGCTAGGAAGCACCCAAGGTATATTTCATCCAAAGGAGAGACACTGGGTTTAAGAAAAGAAAGAATGGCGAGCGTGCGCATTCTGGCCCGCTTTGCCATAAATGCTACGATCTTAGGTGTGGTGATAAGTTAAATTAAATGTTGGTTATTTGGTCTTAAACTCGGTATCAATATTTTATTGCTCCCTCGGTCGGTGGGTGGGTTGGTGGTGAGTCGAGGTCTATCGGCGGGTTATTCGTTTTGACGTAAATATTGAAATTCTGCAACGGTCCCTAAAGTGCTCATATATTTTTCAGTAACAATTATTGTTAATTTCTTTGTTTTGACAGAAAACTACAGGTTTTTTTTCACAATATAGATTTTGAAAGTTGTTTTTTTTTTTATATGTACATTGTATATTAATTATAAAAGAATCATTATTAGTACCGGTATCATGTTAATTAACACACCAGGTGCATTTTTATCAATAAAAATATAAGAAAGGCTACAACAGGCATTAGAATTAATAACTATTGTGGTGAAAGGCATACTAAAATATAAATTTGTCTTCTAATCAAACATGAAAATATACATTTTATATAAATAAATAAATAAAATGAAAAAAAAAAATTCAAGAGATTAAAATATTACTATCCTCTCAAAAACAAGAGATGCAAAGCACTGATTACCACAGATAATGAAAATATAAGAAACAAAATAAAAGGGAAAAAAAATAAAAATATTGAATTGACTGGAAATTGTTTGATGGTAAAGGGACGATATTTATGTCAGTTTCTACAGATAAGTTGTCCTAGTCCCAGCTAAGTAGCTACACTAACTCGTATAATATAGTGTAAATCGTTTACAAATTGTGAAATGGCTTGAAAATACGAACAAAACAATACAGTAAAGCAAACATTGAGTTCATTTTGTGAACAATTTATTTCATATAAATTATTGTGGTCCCTTAAATAATAATAATGTCAGTGAATTAAGCAGTTTAAAACACAGCAGTTTAAAACAATCGTGACTCACATCAAGTGTATTCACATTTCTAATAAATTTACAAATTAAATAGGGCTTGAGCAATGCCCTCCACAACCACGTCAACAGATAGTGTGTTCCTCCTCCTACAACCATCATGTCCCTGACAGAAAAACACAAGTTGCTGCAGGGGAAAGTAGTCAATTAATATCTATAACTCGTTAATCTACAATTTTTGGGATACTAAAAATATAAAATCGCTTAAACATACATTATGCAAGAGGTAAATCTGCCTATTGTGAGTCTTTCTTAAGGCCTTAAATGTTATATAAATTATTAATACATTTATTAACAAAACAAGACCATAATCAACTCGAGATTTTAACTAGATTAGAACGGTTCACAATTTAAAAGTTTAATTTGAAAATGGGAAAGTGAGGCTAAGACTGGAATATACCAGTGCCCTGGTTACCACAATGCACACATCTTGTCAAAACAACAAACAGTGATAACTTGGCTCAGAATCTCAAAATGAAGTAATTTAAATGAAATTTTCAGTATTTTCATTTTACATTATCTATTTTTGAGCTATTATAGCAAGAATAGTCAGCTCTTTATCTAAATCTAACATAATGTATCTTTAATTATGATAAAAATATTTCTTAAAATGGTTTAAAAATATTTGAGACGTTTCGCAACTTTACATTTAGACAGTAAAACGTCATCAGTTTTTGTGACGTGTGATGTGAAGCCCACATCATAAAAGTGTGCCTAACGGATAGTAGCCTCCATAACTGCAAGTTCACAACACTTATATAGCTAAACCTTGTTTAATTTCTATAATTCAGTCCATACTTTGTCTCTGAATCGTGGTTTTCACGAACTGAATACACAGAGAAGACATTCTCCTTTGTGTAGGCAAAATAGGTAGAGGCCGAGACAAAACATGTCCGTGCTTTACTAATCTCATCTTTAACAATCTATCCGTGATGAAGGCCTATCAAGATCGTGGACCAAGTTTGTGTTACCACCTACTAAGTGTAACTCTAAGTGTAAATTTAGCAAAAAGTCATAATGTACAGTTTCCACTTACATTTATCTAAATATAATTGTAAATGTTACTGTTAAGTTGTGAAACCTCTCCATTATTATTATTATTATTATTACACAGTTCTATAGCACACAACTGCCACATAAAAGTGCTCAGGTAAACTTTATGAAAACATATTATAGAGCAAGACACTATTGTACATGATAATATCAATCTAATTCAAATACAGATCTATATTTCGTTTCGTTTTTCATACTTTTGATGGCCTCTACTATATAAAGATCTGACCGGTTGTAGTGGGAGGTCACGGCAGGGGTCATACAAGCGGCTTTGACCCTATGACATCAGACATTGATTAACCAATCAACATTGATGTTTCTATAAACTATAACACATACTTATGGAAGAACAATTACTGATTTATTTGGGCGACGTTTCAAAGAGTATTCTCTCAACGTTCTTCCATAAGTATGTGTTATAGTTTATTGCTCTATCCAGTTACTAAATGCCTCTAAAAGATCATTGATGTTTCTAGTAGAATACCCACAGTTCTGTACATCACATGCCAAGAACTCGCCGTAACAGACCGTTTCATTGGCTAATCCCTCACATCATCCAGAACACACTTTATATAACAACTCTTCCAGATCCTAGTGTAGTAAAGACAAGTAAAACGAAATTTTGAACTATAAAAATTGAAACGAAATAGGACCTGTGTTTTAATCAGATTTTACTATAACAGAATAACAAAGCGCATGCTTAATAAAAAATATAAAATCAAAAACATGTTAAAAATTGTTATTTAAATAACATTGCACGTTGCTAAAACAGGTTAAAATTGTTATTCAAATAACATTACACCCAATTAAAAACATGTTAAAATTGTTATTCAAATAACATTGCACTTAATTAAAACCATGTTAAAATTGTTATTCAAATAACATTGCACGTTACATGTTAAAATTGTTATTCAAATAAAATTGCACGTTGCTAAAAACATGTTAAAATTGTTATTCAAATAACATTGCACATAATTAAAACCATGTTTAAATTGTTATTCAAATAACATTGCACATAATTAAAAACATGTTAAAATTGCACATAATTAAAAACATGTTAAAATTGCACATAAATTTGTAAAAAAAAATAAGACTTTAGTTTTATAAGTAGGAACAGAAGTGAAATTGAATTGGTAATTAATACAGGTGCTTGTACATAGAATGATGATAAATTATAAGAGTGCCGTATCAGTAATAAGGTATCGATAAAGGATTGCAGATTTCTTGTGGAAAGTTCAAGAAAGGTGATGAAGTTGTCTTGCAGTTGAACATTAATTTTTGGGGCCGAGAAACTACTACTGGTACTGGTACGTTCCTAGACCAATACAATTTTCCCACTAATACTCTATCAGCAGAAAAGTTTTTATTTAAAATAATTGGCATGATATACGATATAAATTATAGATTGATAAACAGACATCATGAATATAAAATAACGACCGGTTGTCCCAAGCTTTAAAAATATAAAAATAAAATGAAAGACAACTCTTTTAGAAATTTAACATCCATAAATTTTGAAATTCAGTGGTTCTTCATGCAAGGATAATTCTGCAAAATGCATTGGAAATTTATGTTTGAACATAAACGGAAATAGCCTTGTGATTTGCAATTGAAAAATTCAGAATTTCAATATGGTGCTTCCTTAAAGGGCCAATCTCAATTAAATTTTGGAGAATAACACTTCTTAATTTTGTGTTAAAGCCCTTAATATCCTCTACCTTAGGGCCAAGCAATATACATGATACGTTTTCAAACTACTTAAACCCATCAGTCTCCAAGCTGGGTGTCCCAAGCTGTATTATACGGTGTCTAGATAAAACCAGACTTTTATTTTATAAAAATAATGTGTAGGTGAAATTTACCTTTCGTTATCAGGTACAGCACATGGACCATGCACTGTATAGACCTCTAAAGGAACGGCAATAGATTATCAGGTCACCCAACGAAAAAAATGGACCCGAAATCTTAAAGAGGTTTACGTGTCCAGATAAGAGGTTTTGACGTTCACGTCCAAACGACTCAATATTTTGAGCTGATATCTTTAGACAAGGTAAATACACCATTCCTCTATATTTTGGCGCTTAAATTTCTGAGAGTCTGTTTCAAATCGGGATAGTCCCTTTAAACCACATGAACAATCCCAGCCAGTCAAGATCTCTAACCTGTAGATTGTTCACAAGAAATTGACCATAAGCAGAGACGACAACAATATATACATCAACATACAGTCAATGAGTAAGCGCATAATCCAGAAATTTTGATTTAGTTGCACCAGTCTTTTATAATTAAGCAATTTTAATCTGAAGCACTAAAATCTTGGATTGTAAGCCACAAATGTATCGTCTTTAACATGAGCTGATATATTAGAAAAAATGTTTTTTTTTTATGTTATAGACGCTACAATGGTCCCATATATATAAGTAAAGATAGGTTGTCAGGCAACGAAACATACGCCCACAGCAGCAAAATCGTCAGGGCAGTCAACAAGAGTTATCGCATATTTTTACTTTTGTCGGTAATGAAACATTTATAATACAATAAAATCTGATTAAGAGTAACAACTCATTAAGAAATTATCAGAAAATCATTAGAATTTGTTTAGTTTTTTATAAAGTTCGGCCCCATACTAACGTTTAGTATACGAAACATTTAATGTCATGGATTTAGCTGTTCAAGTTATCAAAATTCATTGAAAATGAATATATTTGTTCGTCTCCTGACCTTAAACACTTTTTATAAATTTAAAGTCAATCGGATATTATCTTTAGCCTCTAGAGCGTCTACAAGATTTTTTGAAGTGATCAAGGGCCACAACTCTGGCAGTAATTATCAAAAATCGTTGAAAATCAATAGGCTACTTCATCTCATGACCTTAAACACTGTGTATAAATTTAAAGTCAATCTTATATTAACTTTAGCCTCTAGAGCATCCACAAGCAATTGTGGACGTTGGACCGCCGGACAGACGGGGGCGAAGACAATACACGACCACCTTTCAATGTGGGCATATAAAAATGTTTTATTTCTGTTAAACAGACTACAATGGTCCCACATATATATATTTTTAAAAGGCATTTAACATAAACAAATTGAATTTATACAATAATTTGTTAGGAAGATCGGGTGTAGGAGGTTATACGATGATGTAAAAATACAGGTATTGATGTATATTATAAGAATCGTGAAGTTCAGACCATCATCTATGAGGAAGTTCCATTGATAAAGCTTGAACAATCCATGGATCACACTTTGAACCTTCACGAAATTCTTCTTTACTCAGTTTACCATCATGATTCTATAAAAGAGATAACATTTATATTGTACATTTATATCGTAGCTATAATCTGATTAAAACACAGATCCTGAAATGAAATGAAATGGAGTTTAACGTCCTACTGTTCTGCTCTTAACCTGGGCTAATGAAGACGGGCATACGCCATACAGTGTGCTATGAGGGAAATTTTGCCCGAACAGCGGCACTACGTACGGCCTACTCTTATATCGAATTCCAACTGCCAAGGGATCTTTTACGTGCACGCCAATGTGTACACGGGACCTCGGTTTTTCGTCCCATCCGAACGACTAGACAGCTTTCCTTGTCAGCCCCTCCGTCCTGCATCACTGACAAGGGAGAACCACGCCGGAAAATCTGGATGAACTTTCTCGGCCAATGCAGGGATCGAACACCCGACCTCCAGGCTAGCGAGCTAGCGTATTACCCACTTAGCCACGTGATCCCCAACAGAGATCCTATTTCGCTTCGTTTTTATAGTTCAAAATTTCTGATTCCCTCACATCAATCAGAACGCCTGTTATATAACAACTCTTCTAGTGTTGTGAAGACAAGTAAAACGAAATTTCGAACGATAAAAAACAAAACGAAATAGCATCTGTGTTCTAATCAGATTGGCATTTTCAAGAAGTTTATCTCAAGATCGAGACATATTGATCTCCAGATTGAAACACAAAAATCACTAGATCTCCTGATATCAACATCTTCTCATCCTGAGAGAGATAATCATCTTGGATTCAACATTATTATACAAGTAACTATCTTCTGATCCTGAAGATCGCAAAATCATTAAAACATGAAATTCTGACTTATTGTCTCATTCAAGATCTGGCTTCGATTCCCCGGTTGTACGTGACAAGGAGTAGGGTCGCCTGTCCAACCTCGTGGGTTTTCTCCGGGTCCTGCGGTTTCCTCCCACTGCTAAAGATCCCTACGCGCAAGCGAATTATGAAAATCAAAATGAACCATATGTAAGCCCCGAAATGACCTAGTTTGTGTCAAGTGGATGTTAAACCCCATTTCTCTCTCTCTCATTCAAGATCTTCCAGGATTAAATCATTAAGAATGGATATCACATTATAATAACCCAAGCAAAATGATATTTAGGGTACAAATTACGATCACAGTAACAAAGAGAAATGCAGTTTTCAGATTGTAAGCCTAGTTCTATTAGTCCACTCCAGGATGACCATCTCTAATGCTAGGTTCCAACTATCACGATTCGTGCTACAATTCAAATCGAGGTTTCAGTCTTGGAGTAATCGTGTAATTGAGGTCAGTTGTGGCAAACATATTGACTGTATCCAAATGTATCTGAACATATCTGCACGTAGCACAGTGATTCTCAACTAGTGTGACGCAAGATCTTCATAAGTGTCGCGAAATTTTGAACGGCAAACTAAGAAAATGCGAAAAACCACATGATCCCAATTGAGTATTCACTGGTGTCTACTGATAAGTTCATAGCTGTGTATTCTTTATTTAGTTTGAGTCATTCTATGTTTCTATGACTAGTCTGTGTCTATGGTTGTATGTTTTTATTTTGCAAAATTCAAATATTTTTTCATATATATTTAGCCAGGTGTGCCGCTATTTTTGCATGTGTTCTAAGGTGTGCCATTGGCAAAAAGAGGTTGAGAACCACTAACGTAGCAGATCGTGGACTCAATAGGGACAATCCTATCGTAACGCATCGCACAACAGTGAGAAAAGGCTCGATATAAAATATGGTTAGTATATATGCATTGAGAACTTACCAAGTCCATTTGGTCGAATATTTTGTTCACCCGTTTTTCTGGCGTATCTTCATCTTTTGGTAGATCTAATAGATTACCTACCATAGAATAAATAGCATCTACTATATCTATCATTTCATCTTTAGTAATATAACCATCATTATCTAAATCATATAGAGTGAACGCCCCTGAAATATAAAACAATAACATCATCAAATGTCTGATTTTAAGAACTGGGAGGGATTTAATAATAAAACAAAATAAGGTGACCTGGGTGAATCATTGTAAGCCTCTTAGAGATATAGGGGTGTTGGATGGCCGGATGGTTAGCATGTGGGCGTTGTATCATAAGGTCTGTCATTGAGTCAACTGGCGTGTTTTCGATTCTCTGGTTGTACGTGACAAGGAATAGGGTCGCCTGTCAAACCTCATGGATTTTCTCCAGGTCCACTCGACACAAACTAGGACATTTTGGGACTAACACATGGTTGAAATTTTTATTTCAATAATTCGCTTGCACGTAGGGGTCTTTAAATTAGCAGTAGGAGGAAACTGGAGGACCCGGAGAAAACCCATGAGGTTGAACAAGTGACCCTACTCCTTGTCATGTTCATCCGGGAAATCGAAACCACGGCAGTTGACTCAATGACAGACCTTATGATACAGCATGCACATGCTAACATTCGACCATCCAACCCCCCTAAAAAGCAAGTTAAAGATGTTGGTATATTCTAAAGCAAAATCACATAGCAAACACGCCATATATTCGTTAATTTTTGTTTAATATTTCTTTGTGTTATAATTTAGAACCAAAGAGAATAGTCCATACATTAGTAATATAGGATTTATATATATATGAGAGAGAGAGAGAGAGATGTAAAATAACATGTAAAATAATGTGTTAAGTTGTTATTGGTTGAATAACTATAAAATCGATATAAGATACGACTATTGTCACAGCTGAATGAAATCTGCTGTAACGAATATATCATATCATAAATATCAAATTTGATCTAATCTATTGTTGTATTCTTACCAGAGAGAGAGAGAGAGAGAGAGAGAGAGAGAGAGAGAGATGGGGTTTAAGGTCCACTCGACACAAACTAGGTCATTTTGGGACTAACACATGGTTGAATATTTTATTTCAATAATTCACTTGCTCGTGGGGGTCTTTAGCAGTGTGAGGAAACCGGAGGACCCGGAGAAAACCCACGAGGTTGGACAGATGACCCTATTCCTTGTCACATACAACCCAGGAATCAAAATAACGCCAGTTGACTCAATGACAGACTTTATGATACAGCGCACATGCGCTAACCATTCAGCCATCCCCGCACACGTGCCATCCCCCCCTCCCCTCCCCCCTTGTATAAGAGGAGGTATTTGTTAATATACTATACAACACTATAGTTGTACTTACAGTCTAATTTCTCATCTAGACTACCACGAGATGTGATAGATAATGCACGTATAAATTCTGTAAATGTTATCAAACCATCCTGAAATAAATAAACATTTATATTTTATGGTGTTTAAAGTATATCTGACATGTTTGTAAAATTATCACAAAAACCTGTTATATTTATGCCATAATTTCAAACTTATTCAACTATACATAATAAAACCATTGATAGACACAGAGCCTTTCTTCTAACTGGAAGTCATTAAATTAAATGTAATGAAATGGTGTTTAACGTCCTACTGTTCTGCTCCAACTGGGCTAATAGAGACAGACATACGCCATTCAGTGTGCTATGAGGGAAATTTTTGCCCAGGCAGCGGCACTATGGCCTACTCTTATATCGAATTCCAAATGCCAAGGGATCTTTTATGTGCATTCCAATGAATGTACGGGACCTTGGTTTTTCATCCCATCTGAATGACTAGACAACTGTCCTTGTCAGGCCCTCCGTCCTGCACCACTGAAATTGTGCGGATGTTCCCTTTATAAGATTTACCCACATTCTTTATATTTAGAACTAAATAGCTGTTAACATATATATTCAAATTAATTTCAAAAACCTGGTAAATGTTTCATTTAATTTTAAACACGATAATTCAGTTTACACGATACTAAGACATGCCAGGGGGTGGTGGAGAGTGGGGGGGGGGGCGGTATTTGCAAAGGGAAATTTGGAAGAAACATATTATTCAACATCGTGATTAATCAAAATAATTTCCAAAAGAAATTTTAAAGCTAAACTCAAAACTTTTAGATTTTTGCCTCCATCCACCATTTATATTTTATGCTCAGCTCAACTAATTCATTTTTCTCGCGACCAGTTCTGTGTGGGCGGCTGATTTTCATACTAATACACAGAAGTCTTGTGTTTATCACTACCCACATAAAACTATAATCTCCTTAAAACATGCATATATTATTATCTTTAAATCAACTCCAAGAATACAACATCTAAATATCTGGCATATATATAAAAACACTTGTTCTAGCAAATCACTAAATAATATTGAACAAGATAAACTCAGTTATAAATGTTTGATATCTCAAGTTCACAAAACACATTAGCCTACTTGAAATGTTATCTCAGAAACATATATCTGAAACCAATTTTTATTTTTTCTTGATTTGACATTATTTAGACTCCATTTCTGCCTACGCTGTTTTTTATTTCTTCAAGGTGGTCTCTCGTCTCATCACAGAATCTTTAAGAACTGCCATTTTCAAATAATAAAGGTCTTATCAGTAGAAAACTTACCTTGTTATAGTCGAACACATTAAAAACAAATCCAGCAAATTTACTCGGATTGCCATGTGGAAAAAATTGTTGATATATATTTTGGAATTCCTGAAGGAAAAAAACCAGATGAGGATTACATATTAAAAAGTTAAAGGTCACCGGAAAAGCTTTATAATTTTTTTAAATAATGTAAGGAATTATATCAATGTTACCTGCCACAGGTAAATTTCAACAGGTAGATTTCCGCCATTTTTCATGAGTATTTGTGACTTTCCGCCAATAAACAAACCGTGACGTCATTTTAGTCCATCTGCTCATATCCTAGTCTCATGTTTCTATGAGCAGAAAGACTAACATGACTATTGGTGGAAGGTTACGCTTACTCACAGAGAACGACACTGACATTCGGGATCAGGTTATACTCATGGAAAGGATATGTTGACATAATTACTTGCATTATTTAAATAATTTATGAAGTTTTTCCGGTGACCTTTAAGATGATTAATTGACACATTGTACTGAAATGAAATCGTGATGAAGTGTTGAGATATTATACTCAGATTGATTTACCAAGGCAGTGGCTTTTTTCAATTTACCATTCAAACTTATAAAACAAAATAAAAATGGTTCGAGTGCCCAAGTTTAGATTTATCATAGATTCCATAAAGTAGTTAGGTTTTTAAAACGTTAAATACAGTGTAACGGTAATTCAACATGGCGCCCAAGGGGTTTAATATATTTAGGTACGAATTAGTACCAAATGGTTTATTTATATGAGAGTCAAGGTTTGGACTATGCCTTGTAAATCGGAAGTAGGAGGCGACTAGTATTTATCTCTCTTTTGTGGACCGAGATGAGATTGTCCGTTGTATTAACTGGACGGGTAGCCTGTCATCCTTCGTTTATGTGTCTTTGTTGAATGAGTGACTTCTTTTCAACCAGATCGGCTCTGGACCTATTTTATTCTACTGTATCTCTCATAGCTAAGAGAATAATGATTTTTTAGCTGAGAGAACATCTCCCATATTCAAACTTATAAGGTCAGACACTTTTTGACAGGCGTAAAGTCTTTATTTGAATATTGTCAGATTAAATTTTTTCTTGCAGACGTTTATCTGATTTAAAGACTAACTAGTAAAATCTCTTCTATCTGAATTTTTTCAAACCTTTCTTTTATTATATATGTTGTGAATAATTAACATTTTCAAACCTTTCGTTTATTATATATGTTGTGAATAATTAACATTTTCAAACCTCGTTTATTATATATGTTGTGAATAATTAACATTTTCAAACCTCGTTTATTATATATGTTGTGAATAATTTTCAAACCTTTCTTTTATTATATATGTTGTGAATAATTAACATTTTCAAACCTTTCGTTTATTATATATGTTGTGAATAATTAACATTTTCAAACCTCGTTTATTATATATGTTGTGAATAATTAACATTTTCAAACCTCTTTTATCATATATGTTGTGAATAATTAACATTTTCAAACCTCGTTTATTATATATGTTGTGAATAATTAACATTTTCAAACCTCTTTTATCATATATGTTGTGAATAATTAACATTTTCAAACCTCGTTTATCATATATGTTGTGAATAATTAACATTTTCAAACCTCGTTTATTATATATGTGGTCAATAATTAACATTTTCAAACGCACAACTTGGATCAAAATAAATCAATATCTGTTGACGAGGAAAGATCCAATATTAATATAGATAATTAAGTTCAGTGTATGTATATCTCTAGTGAGGTTTTAATGATATTTCCAACCTCGTGGGTTTTCTCCGGGTCCTCCGGTTTCCTCCCACTGCTAAAGACCCCTACGCGCAAGCAAATTATGTAAATAAAATTGAACCATATGTTAGTCCCGAAATGACCTTGTTTGTGTCGCGAGTGGACGTTAAACCCCATTTCTCTCTCTCTCTCTCTTTAATGATATTCAAGTGAAAACTGTCTAAAAAAAAACAGGGTTGAGAGAGAGAGAGAGAGAAATGGGGATTAACGTCCACTCGACACAAACTAGGTCATTTCGGGACTAACATATGGTTTAATTTTATTTCAATAATTCGCTTGCACGTAGGGGTCTTTAGCAGTGGGAGGAAACCGGAGGACCCGGAGAAAACCCACGAGGTTGGACAGGCGACCCTACTCCTTGTCACGTCCAACCGGGGATTCGAAACCACGCCAGTCGACTCAATGACAGACTTTATGATACAGCATGCGCACGCTAACCATTCAGCCATCCAACCCCCCTAAACAGGGTTGGAGATCATATCATAGACCCTAGTATAGAAGGTCCTTGTCACGTACAACCGGGGAATCGAAACCACGACAGTTGGCTCAATGACAAACCTTATGATACAGGCAACCCTACTCCTTGTTCCGTACAACCGAGGAATCAAAACCACACCAGTTGACTCAATGACTAAAATTTATCATAACCCGATTAAATCTAACAGCCCTTTAAAAAAAAGTCAAATAATATCAAAATGTGGATATTTCTAATTGTAGATTTATCTGTGATAATCCCATTTAACCTACCATAAGATCATTCTGCAACAGTTACCGGTATATATCTCCCCATATGTCATATCTATTGTATTAAACAAACTAGGCGTATAATAATATAAGTAATTAGGGATTTATAACACTCAATGTAGATATATGACCAGATATTATGCAATAAATAAATAGATAGTTTATAACAGTATGTCTTTCTAAGTTAATTAAATACCCAAATCACTGAACAAGATCAATAAGTTCTTATAATTACTCATTATCAATATGTATTACATACATATACAAGTGTACATTATGAAATATATTCATAAGTTTTTCACACATATTTAGTTTATGGCACTCAAGGGGGGGTAGTAGTCAAGGTTTGACTGCAGCTTGTCAATTTTTGAAGGACTGTATTTAACGCTTATGAACTCAATCAAGTGTCAATCACCCCATCTATTGTCTAGTTAAGGCGAAGATATAAAAGGTCAAGACATAAATCTAAACACCTATCATAAAACTGATATTTGATCGAAGACAGAGCTAAAATACACTTATCAAAGCTTTAGTTTAATGGGAAAAAGAGCCCACTTCTTTTGACGTGTTAAAATTAGGGAATTATGTTTGTATGGAAACGAGGATATTATTTTTTTTCGTGAATAACACAAGTTGGATAATTATAATTAATTATTGGATTCAATTAAAGTTATCGTCCACCACAACATTTCTACATATCAAAAAGTTCAGCTAAACAGGTAAGGTGTTGATCTTTATTATTAATGTTATATATTGACTTATAGGTATATTAACAGGTAAATTCTATAGGAAATATCGGACTGAAAATATAACTTATTGGAAATATCTCTCTAATTTAAAATTCATGCTATGAATACAAAAATAATTCTCTTTTAGAAAACTTATATATAATACAACATTGTCCAGTTTTGGTTTGGTTTTTTTTTTTTTGCATTCTAGGCTGACAAAAAATTTTGTTTTCTCCATTCTCTAATTTCCACATTTACTAAAAATACAATGATGCCCCATAAAATATATGTAGCCATCCTGCCCTGCCCTGCCCTTCTTCGTTTCACTAATCTAAAGGATGCATATAAATTTCATACAGATTGGATGATAACTTTTGTTGTTAGAGTGTTCATAAGGTTCAAGAAAGTAAAACAAGGGTCATAACTTAATTAACAGAAATTGCTGAAATTCAATAGATCTTTGTTTCACAAATTTAAATGATGCATATAAATTTCATACAGATCTGCCCTGCCCCACACCTCTGTAACTAAGGTACATTCCTGGTTTTAGGAATGCTTTTCAATATATATATTCATCTACATTATAAATTACCAAATTCTATCTTATAAATATTTGGCAGTTTAACTCATCTCTTAGTTGTTCAACCTCTATCACTTTTATCCCATTAAAATCAAAACTTTATATACTCAACTTAATTCAATAATATAATGTACCTGGTTATCATTATATCTCCATTTTAATTGAAATCTGATATTAACATGTCTGCTGCTACTATCTCATATTTACATACACTCATATTCAAGATCTTAGATAAAATTTAAAGTGGCTTTTTTCTATTTCACGTAAAACATATAAAATCTAAATGTTATTTACATACACTCATATTCAGAGTCTTAGATAAAATTTAAAGAAGTGGCTTTTTCTATTTCAAATAAAACATATAAAGTCTAAATGTTTTATACTATAAAATCTAAGTGTTTTATATAAAATTTAAAGTGGCTTTTTCTATTTCACATTAACCATATAAAGTCTAAATGTTTTATACTATAAAATCTAAGTGTTTTATATAAAATTTAAAGTGGCTTTTTCTATTTCACATCAAACATATAAAGTCTAAATGTTTTATACTATAAAATCTAAGTGTTTTATATAAAATTTAAAGTGGCTTTTTCTATTTCACATCAAACATATAAAGTCTAAATGTTTTATACTATAAAATCTAAGTGTTTTATATACAATTTAAAGTGACTTTTTCTATTTCACATCAAACATATAAAGTCTAAATGTTTTATATACATTTAAGTACATTAAAAATACCAAGAGGTTGTTAAATTTTCAATGACTAATTTATACCTCTTTTTACTCCTTAGCACCTGCGCGCTGTATCTTAAGGTCTGTCATTGAGTCAGCTGGCGTGGTTACGATTCCCCGGTTGTACGTGACACAGAGTAGGGTCGCCTGTCCAAGCTTGTGGGTTTTCTCTGGGTCCTACAGTTTCCTCTCACTCTAGAAGACCCCTACGTGCATGCGAAGTATTGAAATAAAGTTGAACTATGTGTTAGTCTCGAAATGACCTAGTTTGTGTTGAGTGGCTGTTACACCCCATCTCTCTCTCTATTTATCTATCTCTCTCTCTTTACCCCTTTTCCCTAATTTATTTGAACATAGCAACAGAAATGAAATGAAATAGGGTTTAATGTCCTACTGTTCTGCTCCTAAACTGGGTTAATGAAGACGGCCATACAGTGTGCCTACTCTTATATCGAATTCCAACTGCCAGGGGATCTTTTACGTGCATGCCAATGTGTACGCGGGACCTCGG